GACCTGCTTTTGATGCAGCCCAGGATGCGGTTGGCTTTCTGGGCTGCCAGTGCGCATTGCTGGCTCATGTGGAGCTTCTTATCCACCAGTTTTCTTCATAGTTCTATGTTATTTGCAAGCTTGGTTAATGTGCCTGCCATTTCCTCCTAAAGGTCATTCATAAAGATACTAAGATATTAAATAGGATAGGTCTCAGGATAATCCCCTGAGGAACTGCAGTTTTATCCAGCCTACAGGTAGAGTACAACCCATTACTTTTCAATCTCAGAATGCAGGTACTTTTTGCTCATCTGGTAGTGCATCCGTCTAGATCACTGAGGACAAACTTGGATACAAGGGTGCTGTGAAAGACCATCTTTAAGGTGGTTGCAACATTTGCCCTTCTCCGTTCATCTGGGACTTCCCCTGATCTCTTTGCCATGATGACAGAAAACAGCCTTGATGTGCCATTGGCCAACTCTCTCAGCACTCTCAGATGCATCTCATCTGCTCTTGTGGACTTGTATGAGTCAAGATTTCTCAAGAGGTTTATGAAATCAATCCTTTTCTGTTGCTATTTCCTCTTCTCCTTGAACCCTGTCTGTATGTGTAAAGGCCTGGTACACCTTGCTAGTGAAGACTGGGACAAAGAATGCATTGAATAACTCGGATTTTCTCTGTGCTTTTCCTTCAGCCTGCTGCAAGCCCACGTTTTCCTTATTTATTCTTATAATGTAGCAGTAGAAGTTCTTGTGCCTAGGTTTCTTACCAATCTCTAATATAGTTGAGCTTCAGCTTTCCTAACATCATGTTAGGATGGCATGGGCAATGGGCATGGGCAATGTTTCTGCATTTCTCCTTTGTAGCATTTCTCCTTGCTTCTTTCTCTTTTGTACATTTCTTTTTACAGTCATGAATTCCTTTTTTAGCCACACTAGACTCCCTGTTCACCTACTTCTTTTCCTCACTATTGTGCTGGACCGTTATTTTGTCTGTGGGAAGTTGTGTTTAAAGACCAGGTCTGTTGAGTTCCCTTGGCCTTCAAAGCTGCCTCTTATAAGTTCCCATTTATCAGGTCCCTGAAAAAACCAAATCCTGCTCTCATGAAATCCAGGCATTGTACTCTGTTACTTGCCTTCCTTATTCGTCTCAGGATCCTGAACAGCATTAATTCATATTAGCTGTGGCCAAAGCTGCCACGGATTGCCACCTCCCCAATCAGCTCTCCCTTGTTTGCATCAGAGTGAGTCTATCACTCCAGTTGATGATCTAATAATTTCTATTAAGAACTTGACCCTAGAAACCCCCAAAAGTCAGCTGGATTGCTTGCGTTCCCACTTTGTTTGCCTTTTAGCATATATTGGAAGATGGGAGTCCCAGTCAGGATGTGATCTGCAGATGTCCTCAAGTTGCTCAAAAACTCTTTTTCCACTTCCTCCTCCTGATTAGGTGATCTGTAACAAACTCCCACTGTGATGTCCTTCTTGGTGTCTCCTCTTCTGTTTGTGGACCACCACATCTCAGTCAGTCTACTGCCTGTTCTACTGAAGACGTACATATCTTTGAGCTCCTTCAGATATTCATGCTCTCATGAAAACAATGTTCCAGGCAGGAGAGAGAGACCCAGTTCAGTGTTGCCACCAAGAAGTCTGCATCGTGGATTCAAGAGTTACCTATTCTTGGCTAGCACACCTTCTGACAGGCTATTCGGCACACAGAGCTTGGAATCAAACACAGCGTCATGCAGTTGAGGACTATATAAAGAAAATGGAGAGCAATGGAGGGGAGCTTAAGAAAAATATTAATAGACACACTGTTCATTTTCAAATCAGACATAATGGACAGAAACAGTGGATGTAAAATACTAAAGCAAGTGTTCAGGGCACCTTTTTGTCCAAAATAATACAAGAAACTGGTCAGAAAGCATGTTTGTTTCCATTTGACTAAAAACGGAAAGGTTTTTTTAATGTTGCTTTTATAATACTATATAAACAAGCTATTTAAGAGTGAAATTTTTCAGAAAAGGAACTTGAAGGGAGAAATCTGTTCATAAGTTACCTTCTTGTGCCCGGGTATTTTAACATCTGGAATGTAATGCTGCCTGTTGTAATACCTCTGCAATACTGTAACACAGCAGGATGCATTAATGAGAGTTTCAACCTTAAACCCACAACATCAATGAAATTTATAGTTGTCAGGCCATTAACATTATTCAAACATATTTTTTGTGGTTTCAATTCCCAATTTACATTCACGTAGGAAGAAAAGTCATTGTGTTGACTAGCCATGAAGAGAGAGTCCTCCTTAGACTTGAAATTTCTATAAAACAATTAAGTACTGTTTATTACTTTTGACAGCATTCATAGTATGTGCTACAGGGCAGGAGGAGGGCATTTGTATTAAAAATTCTGCTAGAATCTCTCTCTTAATATTTCAACTGGTTTAATATTCTTGAATACTAAAAGTGCCTTGCTCACGTTTTGGAAAATACCACAAAAATGTTTAAAGCAGAAAAGAAAAATTTGCATTAAATTCTAGTGTCATCTTCTATGGCCATATATATGCCACCTGATATTCTTCCTGATGGATAAATTTGTCTTCAAATGTTTCATGTTTCCCTACTCTTGTATCTCAGTGTGGTCTTTTGACTTGATATGTAGATCAAGGTAGTTACAGAGCACAAAGAAGAACAGAGAGTTTCTTGAAGGCAAAAATTTTGGGGGGAAAATGTGGTGAGCACTGTGATTAAGTTGCTCTGCAGAAAAATGAAATTGTTAAATCTGCAACTGATTAAGTTGAAAGAAAAGAAAGGAAGTCAGTATGTAAAAAAGCTCACGTATGGTTACTCTTTCTGGGAAGGAAAATGTAAGTTGCTTCTCCCAGAAAAAAACCTAACAAGCACACAAAATTTACAAAGCTCTGAAGTTTGGGGGGTTGGTTATATAGAGCTTTTTATTATCATAGGGCTTCATGGTAATTCCAGCACAATCTCAGGAAGTAGTAAAAATAAATCTATCTGTCTCTTGCTGTATCAGTCTGAGTATTAACAACTTCCCCATGTTGTGTCTGTTAAAGAATTTCTTCATGGCCCTTAAAAGTACAAACTCGGTCTCTGCATTTAATATGTTGTTACCTGCTGCCAAGCCTCTAATAGCTACATTCATACACATTCTGTTAATCATATCTCTTTGTTCTAGACGTCTGTGTTTTAGACTCATAATTAACTTTTTCCCTTGTTCTGATTGTTTTCCTCCCATCATGGCAGCATTTCTATTTAAAACCAAGTATGTGAATGGAGAACTAACAGCAATCGATGTATTTTGACAAAGCCTGTAATCTCTTCCTAAGTGTGCTTCCAAATTTAAATTAGATTTTCATGTTGCAAAACCATGAACTTAGTGTTGTAACTGAAATCACACTGTTTCCAGAAGACAGGACTGAAGCCTCATGGGTGTAAAAAACTATGCAGGCTTTTCTCTTAGGTCACTATATAAGAAGATGCAACCTTTTAATGTTGAAGTTTGCTAGTAGATAGATGAGCCTCGTCCCAATATGTAACCCATGGGTTCTAAAGGAAGGAATTATCGAGCTGTATTTCACGTGATCTGGAAGGGGACTGGCAAAGAAATAATCTGGTTATTACTCTTTGCCAACATCTCTCTGATTGAGGAGTAAAAAATGAGGGAAAACATTGTGCAGTCTGTTATGGCTTCTGTCTGTTTGCGTTCAAGTATTTCTAATTAGCAAAGGCATTTGTGGTCCAGACTTTGCTTGAGCCCTTCAATGACCTCCCATTTTGATCATTCTGAAAACAAGTCAGCTGTTTGAAAGATAGAGACCTTGGGGATCCTACATGTTTCTTGCTACTGGTAGAGCCCCGAGAGTTACTGAAGCCCTGCTTTTCAACCTGTGAAGCACAAGGTGTACAGATAGTTCCTTAGCTTGTCACCAGTCTAAAGACGTATGACTGTGGGTGGCTGGGGCATAATTCTGCTTGCAGCTGGTCCCTGCTTCCTGCAGATACAGATTGCAGAATTTGAAACACCTTTCTTACTTATCTGAAATTCAGGGGAAATAGTTTTGAATGGTACCTTTTGCTGATTTGGACTGCACTTATCTCCAAGACAAGATCGCTTTTGTATGAATGAACAGCCTGATATTTGTGTCCGAATTCGAAGTAGGTTTGTAGGCTATAAATCACTTTCTGGGTTTACCTTGCTGGCAACATCCTGAATATCTGTATTATCTGTTAAATAGCTCTTCCTGAAAATGTGAAATGAAGGAGGATCATAGTACAGTTCAGATCTGTTTTCAAGTGGCTTGAACGAAGTTCTCACAGTAGGGTTTTTTCTTCTTTTTAAAGTCTAGCGTTGACTCATTTGGTGGTGTTAAAGTGCACTTTCTACTTATCCCCAGAGGAAAGTTAGTATTCTTTTAAGTGAAACTATTTTAAAAGCAGAACACAAGCCTAAAATAAGCCAGTGTTCTCTAGAGTTCTCAGAAGGTGTAGATTTATTTACTGTAGTTAAATCATAATTAGTTCTCAGGGGATAGTGTATCTTTTAAACTGCTTTATTGCCACCATATTGGTTTTCTAAATAATCAGAAACTGCTGCTCTTATATTCTGTAGTATGAACAAAAACTTGCTGTAAGTAGAAACAAATGTCTAGAATTGCTAGTTGTCACTTACTGAAGATAGTGGCACACTAAAAATAAGCACTTCAAGAAAACATGAAGAAATACAAAACGTATGTTATCAGAGCGCACCTTAAATGAGCTATGGCTATATCTTTTTCCAGCATAATAGATATAGTAACGTTTTACGTGATCATTTTTCAGTTAATCTTTTTTTAATATTCTAATGCTTTTTGGTCAAGAATAAATGTTAACTGAAAGTGGAAAAATGGTAGTGCAATGTTAAGGTAAAATATTACCTGATATTTAAGTGTAGATTTTCATGAATGTAGCTCAGTGTTCCAGCTGATAAGCATGGGTTTTTGTTTTTTTTCCTAATTGGCAGGTTAATGTTGGAGTTGCCTGAGGAGATGGGTTTAATAGCAATTGCTGTTCGACAAACACAAGGGAAAGGTGAGTAAAGTTGCTTCTCATGCTAGTAAATGTGTACTAAACATATGAAATAGGTAGTTTTAATGTCACTTAGCTGCCTTAAAGATACATTGTGAGTATTTTTTCTAATATAATCTATAGAATAATCATGTCCTCTTCTCCTCCCACTTGAACTGTGGATTCAAACTCAAGCCCTAAGTTCATAGAGACCAAAGTAAACATTTTCAGGATGTTTGGTGGCTTTTGCAGAAATGATTTAGTGGTCTTCTAGTTTCTGCCAAAAAGTCTCTCCAGTCATAGAAACTGCCATCACTGCATTTACTGTAATACAAGTCAGACTTCCAAATCAGAACTCCTTTTTGACTTAACTGGAACATAACTGGGTCTTGACTTGCTCTGAGATAGAGGTTTCTTGAGCATGCAAGACCTGCTTGAACTGTCATGTGGGCTTTCACAACCTTTTGCAGATAAATATTCAGCTAGTTCTGTCTTTTTCGCAGGGAGGAGCTAGCTCTGATTTAAAAGCCACATTTATTTTATTAGAAGAATATAGTGCCCAACCTAATAAGCTCTTCTGAGTACAGATCTACATGAAGATGGTTACCTGGCTATTGGTACAGATCTAATTTGTGTCAAGTTGATTCACAATGTGGGTGGGTGCACACAGAACATCTTCACAAATATTTTTCCCTTAAAGCAAGATTTTTTGAAATGTGAATGTTACCAGATACAAGCAAGTCAGTTAGGACATTCTAGGAAACTGAGTAGCAGCATGCACATTAAACAACCTGCTGTTTTTTAAAGAAAAAACTTTGCACTTTAACTATTTTTCTCTCAAAATTTGTTTGGAAACTCCATTACATAATTTATGGTAGATTCTTGGGTGGATACTATTGAACCTCTCTTTTGCAGTTGTCTACATTAACAAAGTGGTCTTTTTTATAAATAATTTTTCCTGAGTTGAAGTTAACCTTTTTTTCTCTCCCTCCTCAGGTCGTGGTGGAAATGTTTGGCTCAGTCCTGTGGGCTGTGCACTCTCCACTTTACATATCACCATTCCTCTACATTCCAACCTGGGCCAGAGAATTCCTTTTATTCAACACCTGGTGTCCTTGGCAGTGGTAGAGTCGGTTAGATCAATACCAGGATATGAGGTATCTCTCCTAATTTATCTCAACATTCCCATTTCCATTTTCATTAAGTTCAGATTTTAACTACATCTCGTATGCATAGAATGACTGAATGCATAATACAGTTCTTCATCGTTAATATAGTGGTAAACTTAGTCTTCGTACATGCTTGGTTATTTATGTGTTTTAAGAAATCCAGTATATGTATGATGAATAATGTCTTTTATTAGCTGATTAAGTGTACTGCACTCATTTCACTCATAACTTTATGAAACTTAAGACTCAGACTTCAGCAGTAAAGAAAATGTCAAATTTTGTTTGTCTAACAATTGAGTTAATTTGTTTTGATTTTGAAGGAGTTGGGGAAGAGGGAGGAGGGAAAAATGAATAAAACTGACAAATCCTTTTCTGCTTTTTTTGTTGGTGCTGTTTCGGTGACCACTTTATCCCTTTTAAAGGATTTTTCCAACCCTTGTTTAAGGTTGAAAACTGATTTCTAAAGCAAGAACTTAGGAGTATTGCTCTCAAGAGGGAATCAAGTGTCCTGTCATCAGTATTAAAATGAAGAACCAGTCTTCTTCATCACCTCATATATCTTCTTTTTAATGTTACCATTTCCTAATATTTGCTAACTATAAAACTTTGGTATTTTACAGAAGTAGTTAACTAAAGCATATGTTTCCTATATTACAGAAAATCAATGACTTATACACATTTACACATGAACTTTATTATAGTGGCACCCAGTAGCTTTGCTGTAGTTTAAGGTCTGTCAGCCTTTCTATTAAAACCTTCTAACTTCAGTGCTTCATAACTTGACTATAAAAACAAAATGCTTCAGGCTAAAATTTGCAATATAAAATATTTGGCCAGAGTGAATAATTTAACCATTTAAAATAGAAGGGACAAGAGTTAGCTTTATAAAATATGAGTCTGACTGGGGAAGGAGTTAATTTATGAATAGAGGTGTTTTTGCTTCTGTGTGCCTACCCTGGTGTACTGTGGCATTTTTTATTTTATTCCATTCAAGAGGAAAAAGATGACTGAATTACTAAATACTAACGTAAAAGTAGAGTGTATCAATAATACATGTACTGTACAAGGTACATGTACAACACATGGCTTGCTATGACCAAGACAAAGCTGCTGAACCTCTGACAGAACATCCATCCTGGACAATGACTGAAGCCCATGTTTCAGTCTGGATTCAAATGTGTTAAAGCAAAGAAATTCAAGGATTTATCAGAAACTCAATGCTTTAATTTCCTCTTTAGACTTAGGTAATGCAGGGCTTTCCTTATGTCAGATGGACATCTGCGCCATAAAAACTGCAGCAGCTGCAAACAGTGGGCTGATCTATAGACGAGGTTTCATTCTCTCCAAATTTCCATGCTTCTGTGGGTGTATGTCAGAATCTTAACAATACTTTAACACACTTCAATGTAAGTCGCTGTACTCAAAGTCCATCTAAGGAGTTCCATTCAAAAATCTGAAATTCCTGTGTCTCGGTTTATCAGTCAGTCACCATTTCTAGGGTTGTCACAAATGTTGACAATGCTAAGCTCACAGCAACTGAGGCCTTTGTTCTGGATCCTGAAGGAGAAAATCTCCCAGCTCAGCTGGAAGTTTTACTGTCAGATGTTAGTATTGGAAATGTAAATGGGTTTTATATCAAGAGAGCTCTTTGCTTTCCAAGTCTAAGAAGAGCAGACATCTGTCTCTAGTAACGATGACAAGGAGGTGCTCCATTCCCTGCATGTTTTGTGGTGCCCATCATTTCTTTGACAAATAGATAGCTGTGCAGTACCTTGTTACTCTGTTTTGTGGCAAAGTCTCTCCTGTGTAGTTTACATCATGAGAATACCCAGTTGACTTGGTTGTTGTTTCGTACTTTCTGTGACTTCAGTTGCAGAGCTAGTGTCTGGTGTCTTACAGGTGTATGTTTTCCTTAAGTAAGATCTACTGAATAGCTCTTCGGAAGATCTCTTAACACTGATTGTACTATTTAACTATCTCATACTTCAAATGAAGTCTCAAGAGTCTCCTATAAATCCTTTCCCACTGTGAAGAATCAAGTTGTTTTCCATAATGAATATGAATTGGTTATACTCTCTCTTAGAATGCTTTGATAGCAAAATCAGGTAGTATTTCCTGTCAATGTATGTGTAATGGACTCCTCTCTGGCCTTTAAATCTGTCAGGAAAGTAGACATGGACCCAGGTGCAGTTTTCACACATCCTGTAAAGGGATTTCATAATCTACAATAGGAGGGAATGCGACTCTTGTAGTCCTGGAGCACCTCCTATAATTTGCCTCTGGGGATACAGTCATATGCAGTTTTTCAAACTACAGGAAGCACATTTGCTTTCTTTTTGTGTTTAAGTAGCCGGTGCAAAGTTCAGTTCAGTTCTGTGGTTTCAACAAAAACTTCTCTATTGCACTGGAACGGTGTCACACAGCACAGTTTGTGTTTCCAGCTCCATGGTGTTGCTTGAGCGTAGCTGCCGAAAGCGTGAATATATTTAGGACGTTACTGAAGTATTTACATAGTTGTGAACTGGAATTTCTCCTGTCTGCTAAATTTCCTTTCTGAAATTCAAGATGTCATTGTGTCCTTGTTGGGTTTCTGCAAGGATCCTCAAATAGAGTGTTGATGTTATTGTGGGCTTGCTCTGATTGTTTATCAGCAGTGAGCCACAGTGGCTGCCCCAGTTTGCATCTTTCTTGAATAGATCTTTTAAATCTTTAATAGGCACTTGTGAATGAAGGAAATGAGTTCTATAAAACCTTGGGAGTTTAAGACCGAAAATCTCTAGTATCTTTAGTCCTCCTTTTGGTCATTCTAAGCTTTTATTTTCTGCCATATTTTTATTTTGTTTTAATAGACACTTCTCTGACAGCTGCCAACCTCCTTAGTAAACCATGTAAACTTGTTACTATGACTTTTTTAGTAATGTTTGTGGAGTGCTTAAATGGGTTCTAATTATGAAGAGCAGTGGACAGGATCACATTCAGTGTGGCAAAGAGGTACAGAAAATATAGAATACGGGGTGATGAATAAGCCGTGTATTGTATCAGTATCAGAGAGTAAAGTGTTTCTAAATGTGTATGGTTTTGTTTCTTTAGGAGATTGATCTGCGAGTAAAATGGCCAAATGATATTTACTACAGCGATCTTATGAAGCTTGGTGGAGTTCTGGTAAACTCTACACTTATTGAAACAACATTTCATATACTTATTGGTAAATGTCTATTTTCAAGCTTTTCTGTACTGTTTTTGGTTGAATAAATTTGTTAATGTCTTTTTGTGTTCAAATTATAAGGACAAGAACGAATAATGACAGCAGGCATAAGGAAATAAAGCACAGTATTAAATCAAAAGGAAGCACAAAAAGTAAATGTTTTCATTCTTCTTAATAATTCCATATGCTTGACAAGAAAAATGTAAATGCAAGCATCTAGGCTGGTGTAGTGGAGTTCAAAGAAGGAGCATTACATGAGAAAGGGAAGATGTCCTCCTTGATCTGTTGAAGAACTAGTAGAATATACTGAAAAATGTATCTGTTTTTTTTCAATTTTTTTTTTAAACAAGAGAAATAGTTAAATAACATGCCTTTTGAATCAAAAGAAGAGCTACGTGCACATACTAATGTTTTAATTTTTCCTTTCATCCTTTTAAAATTTATTCGTAGCTTGTTTCTTTTGATACTTTTCTAGAAGCTGTAATACTGCTAGTGAAGCAGCGGTGAATTAATGATTTGACTAATTAATTCCTTTCTTTAGTTCTCTCAAAAGTTAAAATTTGCAAAGTAGTTGGGAAGGCTGGGTCAGGGAGCAAAGAGTGACAATCTGTTTGTTCATTGTGAAGACGAATGGTCTGCCTGGAAGGCTGGTTCCAAAAAGGTAGCACAGCCAATCTCAGAAAGACTGTACATGTATTTTCCAGCAAGTCCCAGTGCTGTAATGGGAAGACATTTAGCTGCACAAATAAATATTGAGGTGTTTTTGTCATTTCAAGTATGATAATCATCCTGCTATTTCTTAAGGAAGATTTTTCCCCTAACCACCAGTAGCACAGATCTGTCAGACGTGGTCAGAAACCTGCCAGCAGAGACCTAGGTTCTGCATTCAAAAATAATTTTCTGTGCTATGTCTAAAAAATTAAATGAAATTTCCTCTGCAAGTCTAAAAGGTTAAAGATGATGATGATAGTATATGGTTTATATTTGAGTATAGAACGGTAGATAAGTATCTTGCAAAGAGTGTGGGCATGGTATCATTTCTGTCAAGGTGCTATAAATTTTAAGGTGTGAACAAGCAAAACAGTTGAATTAGTCATCACCTCCTTCTGTGAAACATGCCCAGTCATTAAATTTTCTGTTCAATTGTTATATCCTCATTTTGTAAATAATCTACATGTACAGAATGGAACACTTAAAAGAGTCTCTCTGTGCCCCATCAACCATTTACTACTTCCATATGTTTTTCCAGAGCCTGTTCTGGTTAACATAAGAAAAGCAAAAATGGCTCCAAAAATAGTTCATTTTATCAAATATCTTTTTGTACACTACATATTTGTTTTGGAGCTTTGTTGCTTGCCTAGAACACCAAAACATTCAAATTCAAATGGAAACTTTCTTTATGCATTCTCTCTGATGTCCATAGGAGTTATCTTGGTGGTGAAAGCTCTGAGGTATATACAAAGATGTATATTTTCATCAGCTTTCTTTTGGCTGGAATCTTCAAAGATTAAAACTTACTTGCCACATACTAGTCCATGGATCTTTTCCATCATTTCAGTGACGTATGTCACTGAGAGTAGTAGGGGTGACTCACGACATCTAAATTCTTGCATTGGTGGTAGCAATGAGATTGAACTTCCACAACAGGAAAGGTGAGCCAGACATCCCCTTTGTACAGTCGTGCAGATTCCTTTCCTAGACCTTACTGTTCACATGGCAGTCAAGAATAGCATTCCATATATGTGGGTAATGATCAAAAGCAAAGATCATCTACATGGCTTTACTGCTCTGAGAAGTATTTCAGAAGAGTAATCACAGTTTAATGGCCATAGTCACTCTCTCTTCACTTGTACCATATTTGAGTGTAACCAGCTGAGTTGGGATTTGCTGGCATAGCACATTATATTTTTTTCCAGTTCATTTTCCTTTGTCTCTTTCTGATAATACTTTTCTCCTCATTTCCATAGGATCTCTGTATTGGTGCCAATATCCCTATGGCTTTCTTTGCATGCATCCTATGACTAGCTAAAAGTCAAAAACTCCTTTTTAATGAAGAGATGCCTGTTCTCAGACTTAATGCAAATTACTTCCATATATGAATAGTCTTATTAATGACAAATTCATATAACAGTGCATCTGGACCTTCTTGCAGATTGAGGTGTGTCATGTGTCACCTGATTGACAGACTGGGTTTTTATCCCAAATGTCTGAGCAAAGAAAAATCCAAATTATTATGAGAAAAAAATAAACAGGTAATACAATATATTTCTTTACATGCCTCGAAGCCTGTTTCAGCAGGCTGCAAAAAAGGCCCCAAGAGCCATATTTAAATCAGAAAGGCATTCTGCCAACATTATTCTAGCTGGAGAAATCTCAGCGAGAGTCTTGAGGCTTCTAAAGGATATGCTGTGGCAAGATAGATTAAGCAAACTGGAGTCTTACATGGCAAACTTAAATCTTCTGAGCTTTTCAGAGCAAGCCAAAGAAGGCTCATCAGCTGAATAAAAAGGCTTAATTTTCAGAAAATGTGATCAGCTACCTGTGGTAAACAGAAAGGTCTCCCTTAATTAAATTTTAGACTGAAAGATAAAACTCCATCTTAAAGTATGATCAATGATTTACTCTCAATTAGCTAATGACCTCTCAGCTTCCAGGGAGTAAAAGAATTTCTCACTTTGGTGTTATTGTAACCAATGTGCAAGTTACCACTTACATCTTCGTGAGCCTCATTGATGGGATGGTGTGGTGTTGAAAGGACTGCACTGGACTTGCTTCTCCAATTTTGAGGAGGCATTTTAGGGGCAAGAAAAAACTAAAATCTGGACTGTGATTTGTTACTATGCAAGTAGGAAGATTTAAAGGTGTGAGAGACTGAAGAAAAACAGCTGCCAGAAACATCCTTAGAGATAATTGTATCAAGTAGTTGAATAAAGTACTGACTTTCTGGTGGTAATAAAGTGTTCATATTTTCAGATCATGTCCTCTTCTTTTGGTTTGTCTTCTTCAGGCTTTGGATTTAATGTGAACAACAGCAACCCCACCATATGCATCAATGATCTCATCACAAAATTTAATAAGGAACAGGGGACAAAGCTGAAGGCTTTAAGTGCAGACTGTCTTATTGCAAGAACTGTAACGGTGCTGGAGAGGCTTATAGATATTTTTCAGGAGAAAGGGCCCAACGGAGTTCTTCCCAGTTACTACAAGTACTGGGTACACAGGTAGGTATAATGTTCTTCTTCAACTTTCTTTTAAGAAAATTGGAAAGAACTCCTTGATATTTTGTCTTTCTCTACTAGAATGCCTTTAAAATTGGTGACTTAATTAAAATACACTCCCAAGTCGGAGATAATTTTTTAAGGGAGAATAAAAATAGCGCATAGTAAAATCAATGGACTAGCATGAGTTAAAGAATGCTTCTAGGTATTTTACGTGTATCATTTCAAAACAAAGGGAATTGGGAAGGATTTGTTTAGCTAGTGATGAAGCTGCTGTACTCATGTCTTTTATTAAAAAATTGACTGTTTGGATTAACTCCAACTGTGTTAATTCAATGAAAGAATTAAAACAGGTAGGAAATGCTGCTGAAAATCATTCTCTGTAAAGAACCAGTGCAGTGGGAGGTAAAAATATTCTTCTAGACGTTAGTCCTCTAGGCTATTTTTCATTATTTGTGCAGTGTTCACCAATTAATCCCTAACCATCTGGTTCTCTTTATTTGCAGTGGTAAACAAGTCCGTCTCCACAATGAGGAGGGCCCAATTGCATGGATCGTCGGGATAGATGATTATGGATTCCTTCAAGTTCATGAAGAAGGCAAGGGGGTAGAGTCTGTGCACCCAGATGGCAACTCTTTTGATATGCTGAGAAACCTCATAGTCCCAAAGCGTTAATAGTCCTCAGAGCTCACATCACCCAAGGAGGCTCTTTACCATTTGCCACCAAGTAGCTAGATTTGCTTAAAGGTGGGAAGGGTAGTTCATAGCTTGATTTCTTTTTTCTTATGATTTTCTGATATCTTTGCTTTTTGATGTGGAGAACTTCAACAGTAAAGAAGAGGTAATTGCTCATTGCTGAAGGCCTTTATTCTTTTGTATTAACTTCTAAAACACATCTATGTTGCCATTCTTTGTAAGCATCTGTTCTTCAAAAGAAAACTGCTTGCAAAGGAATACCTTTCAATGAACAGAACTTTCTTTTCAATTCCACACTGTAGTTGAGAAACTGAAAAGGCTATATATTTCCTATTTGTGTCTCTGTTCTTTTTATTGGGCTTTAACACAATGCAGTACACTACTTACATTTTTACTATGTTTTTTTAAACTAAATTCTGGTTTATGCGTTGTCTGTGGTGGAAACAGCTGGAAGAGCTCATCATATTTTTCTGAATTACTGGGATTACCACTGTGTTTAGATGCAGGTCTATGTAGAGCCTTGCTGACTTGGTTCTCCATGTGGGCCTGTACAACAGTTTACCATCCTGTGCTTTGGTCTCAAGGTCTGCAGCTCTGTCATGGCTGCCTTGAGTTTTTGGGGAATTTTCCATCAGCACTTAAGAACTGTGGCTGGTTATCTAAATTATTTGTAATCTGCTCTTCTTAGTCAATTGGATCTTGTAAGTCATCTCATGTCTCCTTTGAATTATAGTCTTCCAAGAGGCTTTAGCGCTCCCCTGAGAAGAGCCCACTGGAGCAGTGTTTCACCTGTTGCAATCCTATTATCTAGGTTATTGTAGAATTCCATATCAGAAGAGGGAAGTCTCAATAGTACAATTTAATAGTGATTTACATTTAAATTTAATATTAAGTTTACAATTTGATAGTAATTCTGTTGTAATAGTAATGAAGTTAAGTGAATAAATCAAAGATGCCCCACTCTAAAATCCCTGCCAAAAACAACTACAGGGAAAAAGAGGAAATGCAGGTTAACCTGCATCCAGATTCTCTTCTGTTGTTTCTGTTGTCACCCCCTTTGCCAAAGCAGGGCATCATTTGCTACCAACCATTAAAAGCAAGAAGTTTGGCACCTGCTGACCTGAGAGGAGCTTGCTCTGGGGGCTGGCTGCGCAGTGCAGGGTTAGGTGGAACAGCTTGGTGATGATGGGAAAGCAGCACAAAGTAGGCATGTGGGAGCTTCCGTGCCGTGGCAGCTTGTCGGGTTTCTCTCCTGGGCAGGGCGAATTTGCGCCAGGAGGCCTGGCCACCACGGCACTTCAAACAGTTCTCTGCGAATGAAAAGTTTGTCGTAGGTGTGATGTGGCCAGCTTCATTTCCTCAAGTAGGCAGCGCTGCTTATTACCTTTACCTCGTCCCTACTGAGGGTGGATCAGCCTAATTGGTTTCCACAAAGGACTTCTGTCTACTAGCCAGAAATGGGGTTTTTAGGTTAAAGTTCACCTCATAAACAATCTGAACATGTTAGTAGATTGTTTCGGTTACAAAGCCAAGAAGTCTTTAAACAAGGAAGCTAGTCTGTAATGGTAATTTAGAGTAATCCTCACATATTAGGGTTTAGGTGGTTTGGCAGCAAGTGCTAGAAATTAAGTTGTCCCTATTACATTCAGGATTTTATGCTCCATATCACAGTAGATTTGTGTGTGTGCCTGGTTGTCCGTCCCCTGCTGGTTTGTTTTCCCCCACGATCCACATCATATGAGACTGCACACCAACAGTTCACAGGACTGTACGGTGGAGTGTAGACAGCTGTTAATTGGCACAGTTAAAACGATACACACGAACACCAGTTTGTGCTTTTTACCACCAGATGCTTTCAAAACTGCTTGGGGCTGTTAATTTTTGGCAGCTGCCTTTACTTCAGAATCAAATATTGATATTATAATCAAATAAAGCTTGAGTCTGAGGTAATAAAGTTTAAATAAAAAGAAGAGCTCATTTACATACACATATCTAAGAAATGTGTGCGTGCGTACGCACAGCCACATCTTCCTTGTGCATCTTCACTTCTTTTCTACTGCCTTTTCCTTCAAGCAGCTGCTGAGCAACGCGTGCTGCTGCGGGTCAGCTGTGGAGAGCAGAGCACTGGTACCGGCTTTCCAGCCACGGAGTTCTACAAAGCTTTAGATCTGTACCTCAACCCTATATTTGTAGCTAAAACACTGACTGTTTTGGTACTGTAGGGTGTGCCTGTAGGAAGCCCATATTCCAGACAGACCAATGAGTGCCTGTAGAGACTTCTTTTAATGACCAGGTCATGATTCAGGGTATTGACTTGAGTTGCTTCCTTAAAACACACTCTCCCTTCGCTAGGGACAAGTACTGTAAAAGAACGACAGGGAAAATGATAAAACGTGTTCCTGTATGAATAAGGGCAGAATGGACCTGCAAACCTTCACTCGGCTACGCTACGCAGTGTCTGAGCAGCAAGCAGACGGATGGTTTTAGTAGTAAAATGCTGCAATATTTCCCGGTTGCTGTTGTTCCTTTTGGATTTCTTTGTAGCCTTGTTAATGAAAAGCTTGTTCTAGTCTCACTCTGAGTTGTAAGATTATTCTGAAAATTTTTGCATTGTAAAGAAACTCACTCAGCGTTGACCTTCCTTTCTGCGAATGAGAGCTCCCCGAGCGTGGGTGTGCCGGGGCACAGGTGGGCGCTGTCAGAACCTACCCCTTTGCCTCTGCTTTTCAGTGGCCTGTTCCGTGTGTACAAAACTACCTGTTGTCTTGGATGAAGTGTCCGTTACAAACCTGACCTTTCCTTCAGAAGAACCAAAGAACTTCCCAACGAAGATTGCCATTGTGCAGCCAGCAGCTGCATCAGCTCCTTCCGAGCAGCAGCTGTTCCTGCTGAGAACCTTCCTCCACAGACTCACCCTCCGAGTCGTGCTCTTTTTATGCCAAACTTGGCACACCCAGAAAGCCACAATGTTTTTGTATGAAAATCGTTGTTGTCATTGTTCTTTACGTAGGACAGACAAATGTGGTGTAGAGTGTGTCTGGACATAGGTATGGAGAGAAGCAGACAGCTCCAGATCTAGAAGTAATGCACTGAAAATGTTTTAATTTCATTCAACTGTCTAGATTAGTAAAACACCTCTTTCATTGTGAGGCTGATGTCATATCTTAAACTATTTTCTTGATGAAGTGCTTTCAAAAAGCACTCACTGCAGTGTCCGTATTTCTCTGACTTCATTTTTTTTCCTCCTGGACTCTGTTATAATATTTCTCATTACACATTGTGAAAATATTTGTAGAGATTGTTTATTGATAGGAAAACTTCTGCCGAGCGAGCTGGGTGTGTTGGCACGTGGCTGTGTGCAGAAAGAGCAAAGGGGGTTGTGTCCAGTCAGCGCCAACGCCGTTTCCAAAGATTTGAAAAAGTGATAATGTACTTAACATTTAAGAGTTCAAGCGGTACATCTCACTACTAGTAAAAGGTTTTATAAGAGTTCAGAGCATTTTTTTAAAAATATATCCAACAAATATAATCTGCTTCAAGGGCTATTACGTAGAAATAGTGCTAAAGCATTTAATTCTTTATGCCGCTGCTTCATTGCACAACAGATCTTTTTTATTTGTTTGCTTTTTCTCATTCAGCTACAAGACATCAGCAGTCTAAAAAATTGCTCTCTGCCACTATTTGAAATATACGGTACATCTATAAAAGAAAAATTGAAGTACAGCTTAATATTTGTCATGAAAAAGATTTGTGCCTCAAACAGCCGATTCCTGGGGGCAACTGGTTTGATAAACGGGTTTGCAGGCGTAAGTTGCTGGAGTGAAGCACCGCACTGACCAGACACCAAAGAAATTAAATCTGGACTGAGGTCAAACGTGAAGAGAGGTCAAAAGAGGATGTCGTGCCGTGGGCTGTGGCCACGTAACACCCAGCATGAAACAAAAGAACTGCAGGGAAGAATTGTAAACTGATGTCATGTTTGGGTATCGTACATTAGCACTCTTCATTAGTGATTCTGTGTTATTTTCAAGAGTCTTCCTTTAGAACGCAATGTGGCTAAAATACAATAAATAAAAAAATTCCTTGTATTTTATAGTATATTAACTCTCAAATATAGTACGTATTAAAATTGAAATAAATTTTCAAATATGCAACGTTATTCTTTGTGAAACCCTGTGCTTTGTTGTGAGAAAGAAAGCCAACTCACTTTTCCTTTGGCTACAGGATTTTATTAACATTTTAACAGTTTTGTTTTACATAATAAATAAGCAAAAATGCTTTACATTTTTAGGGAATACATATATAATTCTGAGCATTAATAGGTTGTTTGTTTTGCGTGCTTTTTCACCTACATTTGCCAAATAGCTTTAATCTGCATCATATAAAAAAAGCAAAATCTAATGTTCAAGGAAAAAAAAATGGAATAATAATTTTTTCTCTGTTTTGTTTTTGAAGTAGGACTGAAGTGTTGAAAAAATAGTTGGTATTCTGTTTTGTGATTTTTGGAGAAATCCTGGTGTTCTGGCAGGCTTCCCATTCATTTGCACTTTCTCTCAGTGATACATTCTCCCATTTTACATTTGTTGTCCACTGTCCCTAATTTCATTAAATTACTTTAATACTCTTTTTCAAATGACAGGGCTACCGTCACCTGGAGAGAAGTCTGTTCCCTTATCACCTTATTTACATGGTGGTGTTTCTATTAATAGGGTAAAAACTGTGAGATCTCAGTATGGGATTAATGTTTCCAACTTTACGTTTTGGTGCAATATTCCCTCTCTCATTCTCCCTATCATTTACTGACTAGATCTGAACTCCCCTAAGAGTTAAAATCCTGTCAAGTCACATGACAAAGGTATCTATAGTGGCTCAGACAAGTACGGTAGAGAGAAAGGAGGTTATTTTTCATAATATATTCCAATTCACACTCCACTTGTGTGCCATAATGTTTTCCAATTATTCAGAATATTGCCACTGTCAATGGCTGTGCCATGTTCTGCAGTAGGGCTGTGCTGTGAACATCTGTAGCTTAACTGACTAAAAGTCGTGTTTTTCTCTCAATATAATTTACTCACATTCCAGATGTGAGCATTGCAATTGCTGTTACTATTTTGGAACGGCAGGAAAAATGTTTCACACATTTGCTTTTTTAATCACAGCTCTTTTTCTAAACCTACCCTGTATTATCATATGTGAAATGCATAATTGATTCATTATTGCCTAACAGGGAAAGTTCGTGTACCTGAATATCACATACTGTAAAACATCTGCGGGAGAATGATGGAACACCTCCTCTGCTCGGGCTCCTTGCATAAAGCCTGGAAGTGTGAATAACAAGGTAGACGCTGGAAAAATATTTGGTGGTGTTTTACTGAAAAATATCAATGGCAATTTTTCTAACCGAAGCCTAATTTGTATGTTCCCGAAAACATGTTTTTATAGTGAGAAGTACTTAGAAAAATACACCAGATTGACTTTGCGTGCAGCAGTGCCACTAACGAGGTATAGAGAAAAGTGCAGTATGAGAGTTGTGCATCAGGTTTCTTTTTAATGATGCAAACAATGTCAGTTACCCCTTCGTGGGGCATGGTTTTAATTTAACAAAATTAACATGCGAGTCTTAGCATAATTGTACCTTTTAAGGAGCTGGGCCCATTTATTAGTAACACTGGCTGGGAAGGATATTTAGCAAAGCCGCTGTAAAACCAACTTGGGTCTCATCACTTCAAATTATGAAGCCAGAACGACTGGGATGTTCACTCGTAACATTTCTGTAGATTTGCTGACTTCTCCAGCCTTAGACAAACCCGGGAGCGCAGTTACACTCAGCAAGTGAATATGTTGGTTTGGTCCTGCTGCTTCTTTTTTTTTAAGTAGTATTCTGGTAATGGCTGATTAGGTATTTTTTGTTAGATTTATCACAAAAGATATTCTTCATGCTTTTTTTAGTAAATGAAAAAGCCAACTGTGAGCTTCCAAGCCAGCATCAATTTAACTTCTTAATAAAGCCTTCTCTGTTGACCTTTTAAAAGGAAGCAATAAAAATACTAAAAATTGTCGTCAAACATATGTTTTAAAAGTATTTTTGTGTACTCATAGCAACAACTATTCATACATACAAGGAGGTGACTGAATATTATTGCTGCATATAAAAGAATGAGAATATGTAATTTTTCAAAGTGTGTCTTTCATTACATTTTTATCTGACAAGGTGCAATCCATGAGCAAGTCTTTTATCCATATTGCACAAGCCAGGTAAGCATTTTCTTCAGCGAAGGTCTCGAGAGAGAGTCTGGTAAGAGAGGGGAAGTGTAAAGTAGCCTTGGATTGGGCTAAGAAATACAGGTAAGTGTAGCTGGCTCAGCTCTACAACAAACTTTATTGTTGGTAATTACAGCTATTATTTCGGGAGTCATTCGTTGTTTTATCAAGAGCACACGCTGTTTGGGGAAGCGGCTGAAAAGCAAAGTGGAGTGACTTGTCAGTTAAACACGCACAGATCCCTATCTCTCCTCATTTGTAAACTTCACAAAGAAGCAAAAAAAAAAAAAAAAAAGGGGGGAATTATTGAATATAGGAGTTAGCAAAAAAAGTTATACCTTCTCCTTGGAAAAAATAAAGGAACTGCATTGCTTGTTAAACACGCACAGATCCCTATCTCTCCTCATTTGTAAACTTCACAAAGAAGCAAAAAAAAAAAAAAAAAGAGGGGGAGATCTATTCCTAATAGGCTGGACAAAATGTAAATGTGTGCTGTATGCTTTTCACTTGCTACAGACTTAATTAGCACAAATTGAGATGTGTGCAAAGCGTTTCAGTTCCAAACCCCAATGCCCTCAAACTCTGCTTTACTTCAAGTGCAACTTTGGTTTTTGTGGTTGTGCAATGACTTTCGACTTTCTACATTGGGATTGTCCACTGACATTATTTGTGAAGTGCACGAACCAGTCAAATATTAATCTTGCTTTTGTGTTGACAATGAGATTTATGCTTAAGGAAGTTCAGTGTGTTAAAAGCTGAACGTTTCAAACTTCAGAAGTCTACTGGTAAGTTTAAAATAAAACATAAACATTCATTATTCCCTTGACTATAAAGAAACCGTTTCTGGTGCTATTCTGAAGATGTATTTTTGACTAGCTGGTTTGAAAATCTGCACAGCCTTCTCCCAGAATACTCCATGAAACACACATTTTAGAAGTTTCTTTTTCTTATTGCAACATTTTTATGGGGAATAGTCTTTAGTTCCTGCTATGTGATTTGTCTCAATTTGCCATGACAAGACCTGTAACCCTTTAATGCATATCTTTGTATGTATTAATTTGTCATATCGTTCCTTGTCAAGATAAATGGTGGTGGTAGCAATCTCAGAACACTGAGATCTATGTTAAAGAAATCAAATTTAGATTTGATTTCTTTAGTTTAAAACGTTTTGGGTAATTAATAAATAAACTTTTGCCAAACTGAGATCATTTAGTTAGTGCTGCTGTATTATGGATACTAAAAATCACCACTCTTTGAACAAAGTTCATTTGTCAGGATGTTTAACATATGTGTGGAGAGCTGATGTAAGGTTTCACACAGTTTGTCAAAAATACCTAAACTACAGTGTATAGTTTATGATAACTATAAAAAAAATCTTGACTGTATTTTGAGGAGGAGGGGCTAAGGAAAAAAATGTTCTTCATATAAATCTCTGCATATAACACCTATCATTTAATTTTGTTGCACACTATAAAATAACAAAAATAAGATCTGTAACATGTCTTCTCACTGGCACCAGAGGTTAATCTGTGACAACGAAGCACTGAAGCTAGATGTAGGGTTTTTTCCTGACCTTGAAGGTACTGTTACACGTGGCTTGCCAGGAACACACGATTCTGTCCCTCATTGACCTTCAGCTATGCTCAGTAAATGTAACCATGTTTCTCATGCTTTTTGCAAATCATTACAGTTTAGCTTCTTAATTAAATGTAAATACTCCTGTATTACCGTCACCTTCCATTGGCAATTATTACAGAAGTTCCAATATAATGGGGTAGTGCAGATTCCTTGTGGGTTTCTGGAGAAGAAGCTGATGAGGGGCTTTGGTTTTTGTAAATAAATGTATTTACTTCCTCGGAATTGTATCCGTAGTTTTCTCCTACATGTCCTGTCGCTGTACACGATGAAGTTTGAAATGTACCATGTTTGGCTAAAACATGGTGATAATTTAGAAGCACAAATGGAACTTGTCCGGAGGGTCTCACATCCATCACGCGGTCACTCTCGGAGTCGTGATCAAGCTTTACAGTCATTCTCTCATCGCCGTCCAGTTCATCTAGATTTGTGGTGTGGTGACTAATATGCCCATATTTGGGTTCTTTCATACAAATCCTTCTTGTTTGCTCATATACTGAGGGCATTGGTAGGAGATGACTTAATTGTCCTATAGCTTTAGACTGGAAACATTCTGATTTTGGCAGCAAGGAGTTAGCTATTGAGTTTGAAAAAGGACTTTCATTAATGCTCATTTTTTCTTGTAGGTCTCTGTTAAAAGCTAACTTGTTTTCTTCTTTAATGAGGTGGTGAGGTGGCTGAATCCTGGTTTCTATTTTGTTGGCTTTCATGATGCCGGAATCATACATCTCTTCTTTGTATCTGCTGCCTGGCATGGGTGCTGTGCAGCTTGTAAAGTTGTCAGATAGAGCATCTTGGCTGTATCTTCTGTTTGATATGGGCACTTGCAGAAGAGAGAAAACATGTTAATTACTGACAATGAGCTCATATAATAGTTAGACTCTAGCACTTTTTATGACTGAGCTTCAATACCCGTTTGGTTTGGGCCACATCCAAGTCCCAGTGAAGACACCAGAGACATTCCCATTTGCCTCAGTGGCTTTGGATATGTCTTTAAGACAGTGCTGAGAAATAAAAAATAAAATAAAATAAAAATCCAACCTATTCAGAAGGGCCAAGAGTGCTGAACAAGTCTGAAAAGGTTTTCCACGTGAAATTCCCATTTGTTTATTTGACTCATAATTATTAAATCAGTCATTATTAAGATGGTTAAATCAAGGAAATTAAACCAAAGAAATATTTGGAAATATGACCTGCTATCCAAAATCTTGGCCTTAAGTAAGCTCATTTCAGAGATTTATCAATCAATTTACCCGAGGTTGGATAACGTTTATTACATGTCAATGATTACAGTAAAACAATTTATTTTTCCCACCACTGTGGAATGTTTCCCCTTCCCTGGAGGTGTTCAAGGCCAGGCTGGATGGGGCCTTGAGCAACCTGCTCTAGTGGGAGGTGTCCCTGCCCATGGCACAGGGGTTGCAACTCGATGGTCTTTAAGGTCTCTTCCAACCCACACCATTTTGTGATTCATTCTATATTGGATACTTGACCTTGCAAAGAAAGAAGAGAGTGTGTAGTATTAGATACTGATACCCGAGTATCTAATTTGTGATACCTCTCTGTGATATATGCAATATCTAGATTGTGTCACGTTAAAGGCTTTGCTTTTTCTCTTTGAAAAACTAGCATCAGATATTAAAAACGTCTGTTGAAAAGCAACATAAATACTTCTTGAATAATGCTGTATCCCTGCTTTTAAGGTACTATCATGTAATAAATCTATATGTATAATAGAAATGTAATTTACAGTGTATACTGAGAACGTTTGTTTGAATGGGGAAGTACTAAACTGGGTATGCATGGAAAATCAGAAGCTAGATTCTTAAATTTTCAAGAAAGCACGAACCTAGGATTTCTATTCAGGCTTTTCCTCTAAAATATATTGAGTAATCTTAGTTTTCTCTGAAGTTTCTGCATAGTAGCTGAACTTCTCAAGCAATTTGAATTGGTTTTATCATTTTCTGCTTGGCTTATGCAGCTTTTCCTTTTTGTACATTCCTATCTCCAAATGGTAAGAGAAAAAGCCACTGGCTTACTCTTATACAATATGGCTAAAATTAGGCGAGTACTAATTTTTTTGCACTGTCTTGTGTGAACAGTTTGACAGTTATACTACTCCTCCAAGGCATATTTGAAAGTTTTATGTTAAAGGTTAAATGAGGCACTTAGCAAATTTCTCAAATTAAACCTAAACTCTATTTTGTGTTATGCTCGCTGAAAGCCCTGGATACCTAAGTGCCTTTTGTAAAAGGGATTTTCTGTTTTTCTAAAAATTTTATTCAACATCTTAAAAGTTTTGGAGTTCCCCTGTAGAGGTTGCTGACGTAACTGTACCCGCTAATAATTAAATATTCCCTGTGCTATAGTAGACTGGCAAAGCCTTCATGTATAACAGAGGAAGCAGAAATAGCTCAATTGTACCTTTTTTTATATGCAGAGCTTCATTGATTTCAGAGGGAATTGCACCACATAATTAACACCAGAATTTAAACAGGAATCTGGATCCAATTTCTTCTTGATCAACCCACCACCCTCCTAGAAACAACAATCTTTCAAGGTACTCTTTTAATTTCGATGTATATACTTTGTACTAAGAAGTATATGCAGTCCTAAGTAAACTGAATTCTCATCAGCTATTGAAAAATGGCCCTCTCAGATCACAAATCAAAACAGGGATTCAGCCACATACTTGAGTATTTCTTGGAAATTTTACCAATTCAATTATACTAGTATAATTTTAACTCCACGTTTGGCATTTTCACATACAATATGTATACATGCTGAGAGCTACTGACATCCAACTAGTATGGTTTAAGTTATCTGGTAAACTGGTTTTAGTGTCTTTCCCACTTGAGATATCCACAGGGCTGATGGGTTTGTTCTCTCTCTGCGTTAAGGAGTATTGTTACTTTATGGCTCTAATCTCTGAACAAAAGATTGTCCTTTTCCATTTTTAGAGCCCACACTTGTAAGAAGCTGAAGCATCACAGAAACCCTGTCTTGTTATCTTCATTTTTGTAATCTCAGATTCTGCTGGGCTGATGGCTGCCTTCTCAGTACCAAGAAGTAATTTGCATACTTGGGAGATTTACAGGATATTATCCATTTTGTTCTGTCCTGTTTCTCAAACATGGTTTTCCTCTCTTTTGTTGAGAAGGAAGGTAAGCATCTGGTTAATTGTTTGCAGAATTCCATTAAAGTTGTCAGCACATTTGTGGAGTTAGACCAGACAGTTCAGCAAGTCGTGTCTGCAGTGCAACAGAGCACAGTCGGTTTTGTCTGCTCACATTCAGAGCAGTTACTGGAGCTAGACTTAAATCTGCTTTTGTCTTCATCTTTGCAGACAAAAACCCAAAGATGCCCTGGGACAGACTCCTCCTGGGGAGTTTTTCATACAGAAATTAATAGAAAGCTGAGCGGCTGCTCTGTGCTGCTGTAGAAGGGCAGCACCCCAGGATTGCTTCCACCCATCTGGCCCGGGGGTGGTTGCCAGAGTACCTGCCTCAGCAGGTGCACAGGGATCCCGTGCATTCTGCATTTCTGCAGCGCTGGTAACGCTTTACAGTCATTGAAGTAGGTGCATTCATTTGGGAGGCTTTCTGGACTCTGCACATCTGAGGTTGTGTATCACACTGGAGTGATAGTAGCTTCCTAGAAGGCCCTTTATACTTACTTACACTGCCTCCGTTCATAGCAGCCTACAACTACAACAGAGAACTCAGTCCTGCAGGCATCGCGTCTCTGTTAATTGTTGCCAAGCAGCTCTGCTTTCCCACCTTGCACATTGGGTGCAGTTCGGGTGAGCTGAGGGAAAACTTGGAGATAAGACCCCATCACGTGGCAGCCTGCTCCGAAGTCAGCATCCAACCATCCAAATGGGAAGAGGAAGGCTACTTTATCGGGTATTAGTGGCAGTAGACTAGTGCAATCTTTGCTCTCTTAAGTGTGGTGCTGCAGTGAGGAGCATTCCCTCCTCACCTTTACGTAGTGCAGTCAAAGATCAGGCGGTGCTCAATGGGCAAAGATGCCTACAGAAAAGGTATTCCATTCACAAACATGCCTTTCTCTACCAAGACATTAATAGGTAGAGCTGCTCGTTGTTCTCTCATTGCCCCTGTCTGTTTCAGTAAAAAGGAAAGAAAGGCATCCTGGAAATGGCTTAAAGCAAATAAAGCTTCCTACTCAGCATTGATCTTCATGAAAAAGTTATGCAGCCCTTATCAGCAGGGGTTTGCATCCTGTCTGTGAAAAACCTTGTCCATTTTTAGAACACAGCTTTGTGTGTTCTAAAAGCCCTCTTCATGCATGCTTTGTCTTGCATAATTTTTCTTGGGCTTTCTGGTCTACACTAATCTTGGAGGAGTGTGCTTCTGATGGTTACTGAATGCTCTGAGAAGACAATATGCCAACACTTGAATGCTGACATGTAGCCCATGATGTTTCAGTATGTTTCCTAATCCTCTGTATAAGAGGGCCTTCAGAGAAGAGGAACAATTAATCGCTCTGAGTTTGCCAGAGACCAATGAGCAGAGCCACTGTACTGCTCAGGTCATGCACCCCTGTGTCAAAAAGGCAGGCTGGTATTCCTCCGTGTCAAACAAGGCAAAGATACAGCAGATGTTAACACTGCCTATGCCCATGAAAAAGAAATTTTTTAGATTAGCTCAATATCTGTGCTGTGTCCTGGTCTGAACCTTAATTGCAAATCATCTGAGGCATGGGCTGATATTGTAATGACTACGTTCTCCATTATTCTGTCTTCAAAAACATGATCTTCAACACCCCTTTGCCTCTGGTGGAACACACTTTTCAAAGAAGATGTAGTACATTTCTTCCAGTAGTCACGGGCTAAACCTGTGGATTTGGGTTTGGGGAGGAAGGTAGACCAGAGCTTTTTCACAGCTTTTCTTAGTATTCTTCATAATTTCCTGAGTTTTGTCATGATTAGTGGTACTAAGCTTCACACAGATAGTACAGACTGGCCAACAATGTAACTTATGAGTTACTGTGTACCCACAGTAGTAATGTATCTACTCAAGTGTACAAAAGAAACGTCCCTGACCAAGAAGATGGTTGCCTTCTCTGAAGTAACTTTCTTTTCTGACGATTAGGCCAGCTGGAAAAAAGTGGAAGAAGCTTCAAAACCAGATTCTGAGGCAGCAGCATCTGATTTGCAGGCAATTTTATCTGCTACGTGCTTTTCCAGAGCTTTGATGGCTTGGCATGATCATCTTAAAATCTCTGATCTTTCCAAAAGAAACTATTTTCCATAGAGAAAAATGTCTCTGGCCTACGGCACTTTTGGCAGATGCCTCTATGGATGTGATGTGGAATAGCCCTAGCATCCAACCCGGTTGCCAGATGTCATATTTGGCATTGTCTTTGGATTGAAGATAATGACACTAAGCAGATCCTCTCTGCTTTGAAGCTTACTGGCTGTCATTTTTTCAGTGAACCGCTGGAAAAAGCAGCAGTTTACAATGTAAGGAAGATCAGATGCCCCTTTCAATTCAAAGCAAAAAGTCTCTTTCAAAAGGTTCGGATTTCTCTTCTGCCACCAGCCTCAGCAAAAGTACAACAGGGCTCATTCTAGCTCAGGAGGAAATACGCTCTGGAACAATTAGATACAAATCCGCTTTGCAGTGGAGGCTCCATTTTTCTTTCCCCTCTTTTAACACTGTGTGAATTCAAGCAATGACCAGGCCTGAGTCTGACCTTATTTTTTTTCCTTCCCAAACAGGTCAATTTTAAGTGCTTCTGCAGAGAATTAATAGTACCGAGACAGTTTTCATCAAATGCCCAATAGCTAAACATCCATTAAAATACATCTGTGCACAAAAGAGAAGGATAAATTCCAACTTAAGCAACAAAAACTGACTTAGAAGTAGAACCAGAACTAGAAAACTAGGAGCTGCTGGTATCACAACTCCATTTTCCTGTTCATGAGGAAATGGTGAAGGTATGCATGCATGATGAAATTGAAAAATATCAACAGTTGCTTGCAGTTTTTTGTGGGTTTTTTTTTCCCCCTAACATATTTAACAGTATTCCTGCGGAATCCTTCTGACTAAATGTATTTAATAGGAGTTATCAACCGACTGATGGTAAATTGCTTGTCTGCTACTATGCTCACTGGGCTTTTCTGGCAAATTTTATGGCCACAATCAATTTTACAGACTGTTCTCTGAACAGACTGTTCTTTCCACATCCATTCTGAGTGTATCCGATGGCACCCTTTGACTAGCAAGGGGTGGATCTACTTTGTCAGTCTCATGGCATCTGTTAGTCTGGAAGCAGAGAAGAAAAACTGGGCAGACTTCTGTACACCTAAAATAGCTTTGTCCCTGCAGACGTACTGGGGGTAATTTACTTCAATCTTATACTTGGCCTCAAAGGATGTAGCTTTTTTTTTTTCTTTTCCACAAAGATATGGCATCTTTAGAAAGGACAAAACCATTTCTTATTTTTGGTCTAAAGCTGCTCTTTTTCACACCCAGCCCACAACAGCACCAAAAGAAAACCAGTGCGTTAGAGGAGCATGAGCTCCGAAAAAGTATTTAAGCTGCACTAGGCTGTAAGAAGAGCTTCAGCCTTGCTCATTTTCAACCTAAACACAGAACAGTAAGATAAAATGTTACAGTCAGCTAGGTGAAGTCAATCAGCTAGGTGAGGTCACACAGTTCTGTGAAGGACAAAACCCCGGGCAAAAGTTATTTGCTTCTCTGTAGGAGACACATTCAATGTCTGCTACTGTCTTCTGTCTGATGCAGCAAGCTCAGCTTTTAACATCTGTAGATATTCCCTTCAGATCTTGGGTATCTAATGTCACGTCCCTAAGTGAATTAATACTTGTTTCTGGTACTCGAGATTCTTGAACCTATTTTTTCTAGCTTTTTAAACATTTTCACTAGTGCTTCCTCCATCTAATCTTAATGAAGCTAGAAGAAACGAGTGTTTACATCTAACTTCATAACAGTATAGAATGGTATATAGAATAGTATGTCAACCAGGCAGTCTTCATCAGTGATTGTTAACTAATTTAAATGGTGTGTGCAAATAGATGTAGTGTATATGACATCTAAGGATCAGAGTGTGTCTTGAGTGTGTTTATTTAGTTTCTTTATAACTTTGCAAGGATATTTCTTAAAGGTTGCCACCTCAGAGAAGTCAATGTCTTCAGTGCTTCCTTCAAAGTATTTGAGCTGGCCATGTCTATAGAGAGATGATCAGGGAGGAGCACTGAAGACATTTTCAAATAAAGCACAAGACAGTGCATTTCATTTACTCATTCACTGCAGTAACCGTAAGGTAAAGACATTCAGAAAGGACAACCCTCAATTTTTACAGAAATAGATCACATTTATTTTAATTTCTGTGTGAGAACTGAAGTACATTTGTTTCTTTCTTCAGCAATGACTTACCTGAGCAATGCCACTAAATAACTCTGATAGTGCAAAACATGAATGTAAACCGTGCCAGTATTAAAGGAGGTGGTCTCTCTGCCCTGCTCTAAAAGGGATTCTGGTGAATACATTTGTGCACCTGCTGCTTTGATAATATTCCTAATCAAGTGCTGATGGTAATGTGAAGAAGGATGAACATATAAATACTATAAGCATAGTGGTTGTTACACTTCACTGTTTCTGATTTTCTACGTTTCCTAAACATATTGTAATTCCTGTTTTCAAACTACAAATCTTTCCCAGACACCCCACAGCTTTGCTTTTCTTTTTTTCTTTTTTTAAAGTGACACCCACCTTCATAACTCTGTGCAAGATTATGTCGGATGATGTTCACTGGCTGATCAGGAAGATTTTTGGATGGTGACTGGCTGTTGGGTACCAAGGAGTTGGCATAATGCCACTGGCATTCTCCATTTGTCTGCAGCGTACTCAAGAAAAATCGAGCCACTTCACAAGGTGCTCCTTGAGACTGCCCAAATTTTGAAGGCAGCATTTGCTTTTTGCTACTGAAGACATGAGAATCTACAGGGAAGTGTCCATAATGGTAAGAGAAAGGCAAGCTATATGACGGGGCATATAAAAGTTCACTGTTTTCTGAATGGAAGTTTTGTTCTTGAATGGTGGCAGCGTTCACTGCAGGGCTGGATCGCCAGTTTCCCACCTGGCTGCATTCCAGTTTGTCTGTTTGGAATGAGCTGTATTGCTGGGGGAAAGAAGGAAAAAAAAAAAAAAAAAGAAAACAGAGGGGAAGAGAGTTAAATTACTAACTTTTATACTGACTTTTATATGAAACTGTGTAACATATCATACAGGCACACAAAGCTGGGCCTCCTTGAACTGCAATCTCACTGGCTAAAAGGACTGGCTTACCAGTGCATTTAAAGTTCCTTGTCTTCATTATTAACTTTACCTTCACTTAATACAGGAAGAAAAAACTGTTTTGTCATACTAATGTTAAGGGTTTATTTGATAATTTTGCCAGTTGGATTTTAGCTAGTAAGTGTAGGCAGTTGTAAATACCAGAGGGCAGAAGTTTGTTACAAGGCACTGGAAGTCACTGATAAATGGAGCAGCAGACCATGAATGTGATTTTGCATATGTTGGCATGTCAAGCATTAGAATGGTAGGAACACAAAATGTGTCTTTTGCATCAGCTTCTATCACAATGATTTTCTCTTCCCACTCCCTCCCATCCTCCTCTCCAGACTCTGAATTCTTTTTGGGCTCCCACCATTTTGAATGCATTCACTGATGTTTTAAGGTAATAGTAGCCCCTTCCAGCAACACTCATTGCGAAGTCTCAGAATGTCTCAAGGTGGGTTTCAGTCTCATCACACTCAGTTTTATGGACAGTGTCCATAGTTTACTCTCACTTCCCAGTTCTAGCTGACCCAGTGACAGTGAGAAATAATCCAAATCCCACTCCAGTGCTCTGTTTGCTGGGATTCATTCCTACAATGCATTCTCCAGCATAAGGAAACTACTAATACCTATGCTACATTGAGAACTCTACATAACAGTGAAAGATGCATTCTACACCAGTGCAATTTTCACAATACAGCTATACTTAGTACATGGTTTTCTTCTTTTTACCAAGAAAGTACGTTGTTTTTGAAGTATTTTACATACTCCAAATCCAAAGCTTTTGTGTTTGCATCTTTTGCCACTGTTGGTTTGTACTACTTGTACTGTCCACCCCAAGAACAAAAAGGTCTGATTGTATTCCAGCCTACAAGGGAGTTCCTGTGGCAGGGCATACTATAGTCACTTTCACATTAAGTTCAGTTCTAGATGATCTCTGTCCTTTCCCAAGCACTCTACCACAACTTTTGGTAAGTAAATATTGCAGAAAAATTTACCTGTTGTGGGTAAGGCGTTGTTCTGAGTTTTGCCTTCATTTTATTACTTTTGGGTTTTACTATTTTCCTTGTTTCCTGCGAGGTAGATACTGAGTTTCTGCATGAAAACTGTGACTTAGAAATGGTAACCTGGTCCAGTGACAACTGAAGTTCCTTATACTCAATATCTCTGCAAAAGAACAGTCCAATAAATTACATACTCAAACATACCGCACAAATCCAAAATAGCTCCTTTGAAAATACATGTTAGCTTTCACAATGTTTTCATTTTTATTCTTCCAAGATCATCACTGAGTCTGCAGTACAAGGCTGGGGATGTCAGCAGGCAGTGAATTTTAGTGTCTGACCCCGTTCCCATGTAAGTCTATCACAAACATTCCACTGGGAACCGCATTAACATCTTTGTACTAAATGTCTCTGCTCTCTGAACCTAAGCTGTGCCAACTTCTTCTCAGCCATCTGTGGCACCCTGCAGTTTGGAATCACAGCCATGTCAGCTGATAGAAAGACACAGATCAATTCATCCATCTCCTCAATAAGGAACTGGTCTCTGCCCTGGCTCTCGCAATTAGCCCCAAGGAAAGGAAAAGGAGCAATATTCCACTCCTGTCAATGCAATGTACTTGTAACTAGACCACAGGAGCTGCAGTGTGTTTTTCTGACAGTCTCTAGAGTTTCATTTATGCTCTGTTCAGTTCAGTTTTATCTGCTCCACAGACAGGGCAGTTTTTTGTAGAAAAGAGGTTAAAAAAGAAACCAAGAACAGACTAAGGATCATATTTTAAAACATTAATTGATATAGTTCTGATGATTAAAGGTTCTACCCTGGTTTTGTCAGCAGCAACAGTGGAGCATATTTTTGAAAGGATAGCTTAAAAAAAAACCCACTCTTTCTCTCTCATTTTTTATCTAGAACTCATTTCCATCACTTTTTGATGTTGAATAACCTGGAAGTAATTTCAGCTCAAGAATATGCTGTTATATCCCTGGCACAGTGTTCTTTTTACTCAAATCACTTGCCCCAAATCATGGGACTCAAGCAGGTGGAGGGCTGTCTTTCCATCATGCTGCTGGCTCTCATGTGTGCACAGGAATGAGGGCAACATTAGCCAGTGTGTCTAGGGCTGAGAACCCACTTCTAGTCATTTTAGGAAACCCACTGTGGTTTCTCAACTCATGCACTTTAACTCCCCAAAATCAGGTATAAGAGACAGCATTGCAATATGCAAACTCACATGATCCTGCCACACACATCATTCATACACATTTTACTTTCAAGCCAGATAAGAAATGGACCAGTCTAGACAAAAGAGTGTCTAGTTCCCTGCTTTTTTTACACTATTCAACACAAGGTATGCCCACTATACTTTTTGTTAGTTTTCCCCCACAGGCAGTCTGTCAGTTGCAGTCTGTTTCACTATTACTTATAGAGATTTCTGTCTCAGGTTTATATCAAGATAGGAATTTTGTAACACCTTCATGGCTTGAACTAGAATTCATAAACTACAGGTTCAAACCACTGTACATTCACCAGCTCAGTGGGAGCTAGTTGCCATTGTGAAAATGTAATTTTGCCCCAAGTATCTGTGCAACCCAAGTCAGGTGAAGGAATCCTTGGTGATTCACCTCTCCCTGAAGAGTAGTTCTTCCTATCCTGTCTCTCAAACTGACACTGTCACCTCTGCTGGGTAGCAGTAGTTTTTGCTGTGTCTGGACAGCCCCAACACAGTTCTGATACCAGTTACAGAGCTGTGGTCCACATCTAACACAAATGGCTACAGGTGGTATTACTTTCAAGCAAGGTGTACAAAGTAATCATCAGGAATACTAGCTTGTTTTGGCCCAACATAACTAAAAGAAGGAGGATATGAGGAGAGAAAACTGGCTGTAACACGCAAGCACAGAATGATACTGGTAGACACAAGCAAAGAAATCTTACAGGATTTCATTAGTAATGAATCAATTACTGATATCACGTAATGGTACAAAGTATTTTGACTTACGTAAGGACATAATTGACACTCACTATGCAGTGAGGCCGTGATGAACGGCTGTTATGTACAATGGTAGCGTAGCTCTGTACCCAAACCCAGCCTCCGTGCTTGGACAGTAGTCGATAGTACTTGGTTGTGACTTGGCCTTTCACCAACACTGTGAATATAATAAAAAAGAAAGCATTTGCTTGGACTTGTGACCACTTCCTGGAGAGATTTATTTGCAAAGCAGGGACTTTTCTTCATCCTCCTACTCCTCCATTAAGCCTCCTCATTCTCCCACCAAACTTAAATACCTCCCCTGCAATGGTATCTGTCCTGCCTCTTTTCATAGCTTCACAGGGACACATTACTGTTTACAAATCATATGTTGCAAACTATTAAGGTTTGTTTTCCTACTTTTCCACTTCATCCAGCTCTCTTATGCTTACATTCTGCAAAAACACTTACTGTTTCTCATCTAACTGAAAAAGAGAAGTTCAAGGCAGCAAAGGTATTTTGAAGTGGACACAACTAGCTTGAATTTTTCCAGTATATTCAGAGGTACTTTTGTCATTCATAGCTTGATAGATCATCGTGTATTTTGCAATGTATTTTATGCCATAATGCTTTTTCCTCTGTAAGCTCTATGTTTTAAAAGGGGAAACTTAAAATGCTTTTTAGTTCTTAAGCACACAAATAAAGCCAAGTGCGGAGAGGTGAATCAGTTATCAGATAGATTTCACTAGAAATGTAATCCTCTATACACCAGTTTGGATTCTCTGTGAATAAAGATGTTTCGGCATAAGGCTATGCTGTAATAGGAGTTGTGCAGCATTTCTAAATATTTAATCTAGCCACAAATATTCCTGGTTCAGTGCCAGGCACTTATCTAATGATTCACTAGAAGATAACACCCAGCCTTTGAAGGTGGTTCTTCTCTTTTTTGACCCTGGAGCATTCCTTTAGGAACTCCATCTCCTTACTTTTCTATACAATCAGTTAGTTATTTTAAATTAGGAAATAAGGGACTGAGCTTGCTACACAAGCTATGTTCAAAAAAAAGTGATCAACAGCAGCAATACTTTTATATAATACATGATTAAGAAATGGAATTACTGCATGCAAATGTAGGGCTTGTACTAGACTGAACTGAGCAGCAAAGCTCACTGAAATTTTGTTCTCTCATTGTACATGCTTGGGGCAGAAGCAGATTCATAATAAGGAAATTGAACAACAGCTTTCTCTTTTAGCCAACTCTAGTAGAGCAAATGACCATATGAAATGAAAATATATGGCCTTATAATTAGTATTTGTAGAAGATTTTTTCTGACAGGGAGGGCATTCAATGTTAACTTGGGAACTAAAGAGTGCATAATTTGGGGGGGTTGTTTACAGTTTGGTAGTTAACTATATGGCTCTCAGTTATCACTGGGGTTGGCTTTTTTTTTGTTCAGTTTTTATTTGGGGGAGTAGAGGGTTGTAATTTCAACAGTAATCAGAGACTGCAGTAGTCTGAATAATGTGAATAGCCCAATGTGAGACTGACAGAAGCAGGAGAGAAAGAGTTCTTGTGCTTGCTAAAAGGTCCTCTAAGTCTGTAGGATATAGGCCATCTCTCTGGACTGCTTACTCTCCTACCCATCTGCGCATGTCATAACGTATTTAAACCTTTCTTCAAATCCACTTAATCTCCCTAAGAAAATCAGGCTTTTATGAAATGGCTATAGAGGGGTCTTTCTAGAAGTGACAGTTCCCCTTCCATTACAGGATATGGTATCCATTTGTTCAGAAAGCAACAAGATGAACAACAACATCTTGCAGTTCATGCAAAAACCCACCCTTGCTGACACCAAGCCACTACCATTTAGAGTTTGAAGTCTCTCTTAGATACTGCCTTTTTGCCTCATACTTCCTGGTATCTTTTTTCATGCCTATATTTCTACACAGAGTATTCAATGGGGTGGAGGTGTGCATATGTACAGATATTTAAGAAAATCATGAGCAATATGAGAGTAAGTGTGGAAACACACCTACAAAATATAGAGGCATGAGCACTTTTTAAGTGCAATATATGGCTCCAAGGTAAAGCTACTCAAAGATTCATTGTAACAATGCCAAATAACTCTGTTATAAAAATGTTTGTTAATAATCAGCTATGTGTCATGGAATCGCTGTTTCTTGGTGTTCTATAATTCAAATGGCCCAGTTCTAGGAAATGATGTTTACATTTTGGCCTAGATCATCTAACAGATACTTTTTGTAATGTGGTCTAAGCTTTTCAGAGCAAAGTCTTCATGCTAGTTTAATGCTCAGGTTTTTCTTGAATTCAAAATGTCTGGCTATTCAGACTTCCAAAACAGAAATTAATGTTGTAGTGGGTTACTAAAGTTCTTCTTTGTGCTTTGGGACCAGCTTTGACTTTCTCTCTCACTGATACTGATTTTTTTTTTTTTAAATGACAGACCAGAAGTTCTTCCGTGTGCTTTGGGACTAGCTTTGACTTTCTCTCTCAGTGATTTTTTTTTTTAAATCTGTGTTTTAGATCTCAAGACAGTATTTTAAAAGATGTGTAAACCACTGAGGACTATAGTGTTCAGCTTTCTTTCCTAATTATATGTTTTAACCAATATTTCTCCTGGGACAGGGAAGGACTCCATGTCTCCTGCATTTTTAGCAATCTGAGGAAAGTCTGACCTTGGCTGGGGGATAGTAGCTGCACTTCCGATACAGTAAATGAGGTCAATTTCCATTTGGCTCTGTGTTAAATTACCCTCTTTGATGCTGATTGGGAAACCTCAGAAATGGGAGTGAGGTAAATCCATTACCAAGACAATCTGTGCAGGCCCAGACTTCTTGGTGGCCTCCACAGCAATCAAACAGGGAGGATTCAGTGGTTTTACCCTTGGCTTTTAGATGTGCCATTTGTAACTGGGTGTTCCGCTGTTGTTGTTCCCTCCTGGTTTAGCAGGGAAGCCTGAAAAAGGGACTGGGCTGGCTGGGCTGGTCCTTCTGGTCTGTCACAGATGGATATTTTAAAAGGCTCCAGCAGGCTCATGGGCATGTGGCTGAGAGTTCCCAGCCTGCACTTAAGGATCCGCTAAGAGAAATGGACTTCTCGGTTCTTCACTTGCAGAGGTTATTGTTTTAGCTCCCTTGGCGCACACACAACCTGGCATGTCATCAGTCCAACCCTCAGGCAGCATGGTCAGTGGACGGTGCCCTAGCAGACTCTCAAGTTCTTTTGCCCTCTTAAAAACTCGTACAGCTCTGCCAGAAGGCTTGATTACTGGGGAACCAAATGACTCAATGCCATAGACAGAGTGTAAACTGTGGTCTGCTATAAGAAAGGTTCTATAAATATGTAGGTTGATTTCCAGGAAGTGGCAGAACACTTTGGTGATGACATCAGCTGAGTCTGGGGCTTGCCCTGCCAAGGCAGAGAGATGTGACTCTCATAAAAGTTAACGTGGGAAGAGCAATGATGTTACAACATGTGGGACGCAAAAAATCCTCCTCACAGAGAGATAATGGTACAAATGAAGTGATTTCTCTAAGGCCAGAAAAATATTTTGTCAATACTGGAGTAGAGGAATATTTTATCAGTACTGGAACAGCTTCTCTATCCCTTCTTTTAGAACACAAGATTTTTAGGCAGGGACTCATTATTTGTGTGGCCACATTTCCCCAGTTGCAGAGCAAAGACTGTGTATACTGATGGTGCTATAGAAATAAATAGCTCTAGTTCAAATGCCAGAAGCTTTTTCATATAGCTGGAAGTTAATCAAATCCTGTTTAAAACAGGAAATACTGTTTGCTGCCAGCATACCTTAGGCAAATATTCACATCTACATTTTCCTCATAGTCTGATGTTATACCCCTTATATTCCTTCTAACTTGTTCCCCTCACTGTTTCCTTTTTTTTGTTCTCTGTGCTGCCTAACTCAAAGTTCAGTTGTTTTAGGTCTTCAGTTTGGGAATATTTTTTTTCCCTTTTGAAAAAGCCATTGATTCCTCTAGTTTAGGGTTGCCTTTTTTTTTTTTTTACTACATTTTCCTCATAGTCTGATGTTATACCCCTTATATTCCTTCTAACTTGTTCCCCTCACTGTTTCCTTTTTTTTGTTCTCTGTGCTGCCTAACTCAAAGTTCAGTTGTTTTAGGTCTTCAGTTTGGGAATATTTTTTTTCCCTTTTGAAAAAGCCATTGATTCCTCTAGTTTAGGGTTCTCTTTTTTTTTTTTTTACTTTTTTTTTTTCCTTAATACCCTTATTAGGTGTAACATGTTTCTCTCCAGATTTCTTCATCAGATGACACTTAATCATCAAATTGTTTTATAGAATGGTACGTCAAACTTGCCAACCTTTTACTGTTCATGTTCCTAAGACATTTACTGATGGATGGTGGGGGAGTTATAACAGTGCTCCCCAGAGGAAGTTTGTACACTTTACATCTGTTTTAATAATTCCTATTACTTGATATTCTGACTGTGATTCTGCACTGTTCCCACTCTTGCCCAAGCATTAGCCATTATTTTTTGTTTCTTGGAATTTGTTTGCTTTGAAACTTTCATAAATTTCTATGCATATGTCTCACATTTTTCTTCTGCTTTTAAACTTTAAAATGATTTATCTTTGTAATTCAGATATAGTATCTAGACAACTGTTTTTAGTTATTCTGCTTGGTTGAGGTTTTTTTTCCTTGGGGATGGTGGGGGAGAATTAATTCAGTAAACATGGTGTGTCTCTTCATTTAAAACTCCAGTTGTACATAGATCAAATTGGCAGCCAAGTCTTCTATCCTGCACACAGAATTATCCATTGCTCAGCTCTAAAAGTCATCTTTTCCAGAGATGACTGTGGCTATAATGGAATCATCTCTCTACTGGTTGACATAGGTATTTCAAATGGTCTCATGAAAATAATGAGTGTTATGTTGTCCAGGTCAACAGTCACATCCAGATGCAGACATTAACACTACGAAGAGAATGTCTCCAAGAGGACATTGCCACGTACCCAGGTCACTCTAGTTTTCAGTTTGCAATGGCCCAGAGTATTCAGCAATGTTTTGGTAAATATGAATTTGCTGTAAAGATCAGTTTCTGCTTTCCCAGGTGTAGCAGACACTGTCATCAACAGAATTTGGCGCTTGGAATTTCAGCACTGACTTGCAAAATACAGTTACATCCTCCTTTATATTCAAGATCCTCATGAGCAGCACATATGAAGGTGAAGACCTGACTACTTTAGCCTTCAGGAAGCCTGAGAGAAGGATTTGACCCTGGCTGCTTTCTGCCCACAGGAGCAATCTGGAAAAAAATTCACTGACATTGGTTTTTGGATGTCATCTTTGCATCGTATGGGCTCCGGCAGACTGAGCCAAATCCAGAGTTCAACTATTCCCTCAATTTGCTTCGCAAATTAATGTGCTACTGAATGAACTACTTCCCAAATCCAGATGTTTGAAGATATGATTAGTGTCTCTGTTGGCAGATGGGGAATTATTAAATGTGTAATTTTTTTTCCTGACACTCCATTCTCCAAACCTCATCCACATGCTATTAATGAACATTCATCTAAGGATTTTTTTGGTTTGCATTCACTTCAAACATGGAACGATTATTGCTAACATATTTCAGAGGAATGGGGAGCTGTTGCGTAATTTTTCTTCTAACAACAGAGGCTAGTAAAGTTCAGATTTTCCCCTCTGACTCACTCATTTGCTCTTTTGCTTGTTTTTTTTTCAGGAGTTCACCACCGAGAATCAAGTCCAAATTTTCAAAAGAGCCTAGATCCTTTAAGTAGAAAGATAAAAGTGGCCAGATATGTTCTTTTTCAGAAGCACAACGTATTGAGTATCTAACTTATTTGCAGAACTAATGGTCCCCTTAAGTGATAGCCAAGCACTTTTGAAAATCTAGCTCCAGTCAAGATTTGGAAAGCTTTCTCTACTTTCCAGCATAGTGCCTGCTGTCTGCAAAACTTCTCACTCTACTTAATAAATTTCAGTCTAGCACTCCTTTTACTTACGCAGATGATGAGCATATCGTAAATGGAACACATCACAGCCATGAACATGGTGGTAGAGGGTTTTTTCTATCAGATCTTGGGGCTCATATCCAGTTAATTCAGTCACCCTGGAAAAGTAAGATTTCATAATAAGCAAAATATCTAGGAACATTCAGTTTCATTAACCTAACATTTGATTGTGCCAACAAATAAAGTGCCTAAAGACTGCAAGACAAAATGTTAGTTTTGGAAACAGAATCCTCATCTTTATAAGAAAATAAACTCTCTCAACAAGCCAAAGCAAGGTGCAGCTATTCCCTGGCTAGCCTTACACACAGACAGGAAAAAGAGTTCTTTTACTTATTTCCACTTTGGGCTTCTGCCACTGCCGTGAATGATCCTTTGCACAAAGATCCAGTTGAGGAGCCATTCATGAAACAATAAAACTACTCTTGTGGACTGCTGACATATTTTCATTTGCTGTTGCAAAGATACAAGTGTAGCATGTATGTCAGTCTATAGAAGCTGTGATCATGGTCTATAAATAATTTTAGGCTAATGCCTAACAGAAGAAGGAAGCAGGAGTTTATTCCAGCTGAGAATGTGAAAAGACAAGGAGCAATGAAGATCACAGGCTAAGAAAAGGAAGGCTGAAGCTAGACTTCAGAAACACTACCTCACATGATAAGAAGTAGAATAATAGAACAAATTTAAAACATCATCAGTTCTGCAGATGTTAAAGAACCAGACTACACTGGTCAGACTTACACTGGGTCACACCTGAAGAGTCAAGCTTCATGGTTCAAAATGGACTTTTGCTTATTTAGAAATGTTGCTTGAGAATGAGAAATCCTTAAAGTACATTGTGCAACTCAGCCATATTATGGCTTGTTTACTTAGTATTGCTGGGGGTGCTTTATGCTGTCCTGGTCTTTCTTCACCTAAAAAGGCAGAACAGAGGTACTACCCAAAGGCATGTCTACATTAACAAGCAACACAATCCATTAGCAGCCAATTTGTAGAATAAAATTAGTACTGCTGAGGATCTACTTCTGCAGCAGCAGCTGCATCTGCATGTTTTAATTTCAGGACTTTCACTTGGGACTAGCTCTAGTCCAGGCTTGTGGACTGAAAGCTTTATGAAAGTTGCAGTGCCTTAGACATGCTCTTGGAAATTGTCTTCCAGTTTCGATTCATCCAGAAGGAATTCAGTTCATATACGTAAGGTCCCTTTATGACATGAACTGCAGTGCAATGAGTGGGGACAGTCAGGACATTCACATCAAAAGTATGCTTCTGTGCTGAACTTAAACACTAAGGAGGGTACACCGTATCACAGAATAACACAGTAGTGTCTACAGAAATGAATACAGGGGGCTCAAACAACATGTCATGGGGGATTGCAGATAATATAAACTTTGATTACTTTTTTTTTTTTTGCAAAGATGCATCTTCTTTACTTTTACCCTAATGCTAAGCAATCATGTGGCCCCCACAGAGACTAAGACTTCACATTATTGAATATTATTATATCAAGTGCTCTTCACATACTTGCAAGAGAGCACTGTGGGGTGGGATACTTCTGAAGAAAATCAGAAAGGAAAAAAAAAGTGCCTTTGTGGTCTGATTTATTATAAATACAGTACAAATACAGCTATACCTCCCCTAGCTGTTCCTTCATCTGGGAAACTCTTGCATGCCTTTGCCTCAGTCAGGGACTGCCAACGCAGAGTGAGCACATGTGCTCTCTTTCTGCAGCAGGATATGTGAATATATGCTTGTTTCTCGTCTGCAGTGTTTGCTCTCCCTCCTGGCTTTCAATTCTAGGGGCCAAAATTCTCACTTAAGCCTATCAGCATGGTGAAATAGTGGTGAAAGGTCCTGTTCAGGTTTCAGTGCTCCTTCTGACTTCAGTGCAATTAAAACAAGGGTGGCAGTTTCATCCTACTCACTTAATTGGTGAGTACAGAAACAGCTAATCCAAAACCAAACAGAATGCCACAAACCTAAGCCAGGTGTTGATTTTTCTGGAGGTGCAGTCTCACTTTGAAGCTGGTCTTCTCATAGGCCAAAAAACCACATCATTAATAGTTATGAGGACACCCAAACTTTTAAAAAGTTTTAATATGGAAATAAAGCTGCTTGACTTCCTTAACACAAAATCAAGCCCTCAATAAGCCACTGCAGGGAACCTGGACTCTAAAGATTGTTCTTTGCATGTCTCAGGGCAACCAGCTTGCCCAGTGATCAGTTCTGCCCTCTAGAGTTACCTAAAACCTTTGTAAACCATGTAGTCATGAATGAATAGGCTGCACCAAGAAAATCAGAAACAGCACTTCGGAGGGAAGTAACTGTCTCCTTTTTCCAGTGATCTTGATAAATGAACTCTTGCATGTTTTAGATTGTATCAAGTGTTTAGAAAGGTTTATTTAACCACTCCTTCCTATGTCCGCCGTGACTGTTACCTCCAAACATCTAGCAACGCTTTTTCTTTTATGGGTACCAGAAGCAAGCCTGAAAGCAGTTTTGTCATATTCCTAATATCTCCCTGCTCTGAGCAAACATAATTTGGTTTGCTCGGCTGGGAGAGCAAAGGGCTTTGGTAATGCTTAATATCGCTGATTGTCCTGTGTGTAGATGACACCCGTCTGCTCATTGGTAAACATAGCTATGCAACAGTACTGGTTCTTTCTATCTGTGCTCCTGTCAGCACCTCTGGTTGTACTGTCTCCTTTGAAGACACTTATGTCTTCAGGGAATTCCTTTTAGGCACATCATTTCCTTTTTGCCACATGCAAAGACATGTTGCTGAACTCCTTGTGCTTCTTTGTAGCTGTTATATTAAGTAAAGCATGCCAAAAAAGAAAAAAAAAAAAAAGAAAAAGAAAAAGAAAAAGAAAAAAGAAAAAAAAAAGGGATTCCAGAAACAACTAGGTCTTTGTATTTCAGCAGCTGATGACCCACTATCTCACTGACTTAGGATGGGGAAAGAGCATGTTCTTGCATGGTTGACCTGCCATGCAAAACTTCCCCACTGTCTTGGACGCAGACTCTTTTTCACTGTTACACTTGAATATAATTCCTGCTTCTTGAAAATCCAGCATGCCAGAGAAGTGAGAGAGTATGTGACATACTGCTTCACACGCAGGGATTTTTGAAGAATGATCATCTCGTCAATAGTCAAATCTGTGATACCATCTTGGGGTTTCCCCTCAAGGTATCTTGAACTGCACAGTACAAAGTATCATTGTATACTAAAAGATACCATATTTCAAAAGAGAGGAATGAATCGCTTCGTATCTCCTTCAGTTCTGGTTTTGTGCTCTTGTTAGCTGGTATGCCAGCTATATCTGCTGAGAGTGGAGGCAGGGTTCTCTTTCCTTAGCAATAGCTGTTTTACCAAGTTTTGTTTAAGAAGGCTGTTTTCACATAGTAGCCAATTGAATTAATTACCCATTAGTAGGGTTGGTTTCACATTGCTAAGGCATTACACTAAATTGCAGAAGTCTATGTTTTCTTACTATTTTGTCAAAAGCTTTCTGGATGACCCCAGTACATATTTGACCACAGTGTTTCAGTTGTGGGTTTGGTTTTTTTTGTAAATTATGGATGGATGATGGTACATCCTTATTCCTTTCAGTAGCTTTGTATGTTAAAATTTATCTACTTTAAGGTAAAAGTGTATTACTGCTCATCTGCCTATTACTCAGAGCAAGAAGGCTTTGGTTGACTCTCTGAAGCTGTAGGTAACTTAAGGTTAAATTGTATAGGCTCTTATATGTTGGCATTGAAGACAAAGTATGGTCTGTCCAGCTACCTGAAGGGCTTTGAAGACTGACCCGGGCTTTGTGTTCCAGATCTATTTTGGAGTGTTTTACTTTTTCATGGATACATCTGTTTGGAAACCACTGTAGCTTATGATAACACTTTACTTTGAAAACATTCTATGCTAGAAATTAAATAGCTGCTTACCTGGAGTCTAGGAATATTAATTTTAAGTCCAAACTTGCTCGGAACATAAACATATTACTGTGAAGTTTGATTTCAGTGATTGCACTGGGAGGTAAAGATTGACCTACAGCCACCAGTCCAACGATTTGGTAACAGGAATCATACAAAGACATATCTAGCATATATTGCCGTATCTTCAAATAGCCACTGCAATGGATCACCTGGCATGAGAAGAAAACACATTCAATATCTGATGGCAATATCTGCAAGTCAGCTGACCACCCAGTTTCAATGAGGTCATAAAACAATATACCCTTGTAACACTTGAATACTGCATAGTCTGTTTAGGCTTCAGAAGTCTATTTATTTATTCAGAAGTGTATGTAATTAATTTAGTTTTTGTGTTTACTGCCAACATGATTAATCCAGTATTAAAGCACATGTTCTTTGAAACTATCTAGTCTGCTTTCTATTTAATACTTTAAACTTTCTTTGATATAGATTTCTTATAGATCAGTCAGAATTCCTGTTCACTAACCAAAAAAAATGGAAGTTGCTTTTTTAAATTACTCACTCTCTCTCTCACACACACAGAGGTATATATAAAAATTTACATTTTAAGGAGTTATTATTCTGATGAAAAATAGACACTTTAAAAATCCTATGGAGATTAACACATCACATTTATAAATATTAACTGCTGTATATGTAACTGCACTAGGAATTAGTTTTAAGTTCTCCAGCCAAGTTCAGATGATGTTCTTTTGACATATGACCAAGCCCAAGGTCTTGAAACCAGATTCCTGAAACCCTGTATACAATTCCTAACCACAGGAGTGATAACTTCGGTGTTAGACTGTAAAAATTCACAATGTCAGGTGAAGTGGGGAAGAAATTGTTACCTGGGGACTCTTCCAGAATGTAAGATTTATTTAACGTAGTGCTGGTAGTGCACAAAGAAATCATTTGTGCACCAGTCAATTTTCTAGTCCAAACAGTAGGCATACTACATGTCCTTCAGCCTAATTTCTGTATTTGTTTGACTTTTAACTGTGTCCAATGGAAAGGAATTAATTTCCACTGTATTTAGTACTCCTGAACAACCTACTAAAGTGTCACCTATAAACAGGGTCCTCCTGTATACCCTTCCTTCCTCCTCTCCAGTCACCATGTGATTAGTATGTTTAGCAAAAGTACAGTAGCAAATACAAATTATGTAAGAACCTACTAATCCCCATGCTACTTGATTCACAAGTTTTTGCTGTGCTTCAGCTACTCAAGTGATATTTTCAAAATTTTTAAGTCCTGACTCTAAGTGCAGTCAAAAAGAATAAATTTAGGCCAACATCTCTCTAGAAAAATGCATCCTTGAACGTTTCACTGTGTAAACTTTCAATAATGAGCAAAAGAAGAAAGACGATCCCTCTGAATAACAGTCATAAATGGGGAAAATAAAAAACACAGAGAGATACCACCACCACTACAAGCTCTAGTCTTTCCTGATTTTAGATTCAGCTTTGGGACAGAATAATTTTTTTGCTGGAAAGCAGCTGAGCAAACAGGGGTCCATGTAATGAAGAATTATCAGTTTAACCAAGTAGATAGCAGTGTAAATAGACAGATATATATCTGGACCTTGAACACATTCCTTAAAAGAGCTCTGCTTCTCTTGCGTACTTTCCTTTTTGTTTTTGAATGACAAACAAAATCAATCCTCACCAGATTGTATGTGAAGTACCCTTCTCTCCTGATGCTTAAGTGATAGAATTATACTGTGTTGCTCAAAGAGCAACAAATGCACACTGTAAATCTGAAAATAAGAACTACCTGAATGGCAGGTGTTTTTATAGAATCTTAGCATTGTTGTGGCTTCTTGATTTCATGTAATAAATAGAAAATTAATACAAATGATGAGATTTAGAAACAAACTTGGTGGTTTACTGCAATTCAACCCTGAACCAACCCTGAACTGATATTAATCATTGGTTAGGGTAACATTATGGTCTCATTAATTTTGAGGTAATTCTGGTCAGGCCAATGAGGTGACTTGTGCAACTGGGTGGCTGCTCAGCCGGAGCATGGTAACACCAGGGCAATGGAATGTGGAAAGACTTCCAAGTTCCTGTGTCTGGGTTCCTGTGTCACCTGTCTGCAATTACATAGGGGAATAAGACCTGGCTGTGCATTCTCCTTGAACCTCCATGGGTGCACTCCAGCCAGTTCCCCATCTGGAAGATCATGAATCAGGATGTGGGAATCTGCCACAAAGCAAACTCCAACTCACTGTGAGAGTGTCTAGACTTGCATTACTAAGGGAATCTGCAACCAGTAGTGGCATTTTCTGCATCTTTTCTGATTCTTTCTATCACAGATTTTGCTTTTTTTGCTACACATATGTAAAAAACCCTAAATAAATAAATTTGGCACTTGTTGAATACTTAAGGGGGAAGGGGGAGGAGGTTTATATACATTACCTTGTAGCCACTGCATGTCAATCCTGCATTCCTTTTGGCTAGGACACACTTCATTCTCAGGAAAAACGATCTCTCAATTTCATATTCTGGAAGAATAAACCACACTATTTATTACTGAAGATTTCAAAACTGTCCATAACATTGCCTTTTGTGATTTAACAGATGTCTTTATGTCTCAGCTGTCTTTATGTCTCAGCCTTAGGCAGCAATGGAAGTCAGCCATTCAACTTTCCCACTCAATCTCTGCCCTCAGGATTTATTTCTCTTTCCTGTTAGGGTTGTCCATGAAAGTTGAACAGGTCAACATAACTAGGTCTCCAAATTCATGGTTTTACCACCCTTCACAAGGCAATCACCTTGTTTCTGAACAGCTAGGTACCAGCCCATACTGATAAAAGGAAGGAAATGTCTCCTTTGCAACATAGGTGAATGTACTGTCCAGAATAATAGCAGAATGGAAAACAAGAACATTCATTTGTTTTGTAATAATTTGAGTGTACATAGCTAGTCATTCCCAGACTGCTGAACTTCTGGCCTTCATATGCAATATTATTACCTGTTTCACTGGCTTCCAAAACCATCTTGGTAGATGGTTTTTAAACAAGTATCTTCATGGATAATCTCCAGAAATGTTTTAAAGTTAAATATTGCTCAGGTACATACACACTTGCTGCTAAGAATAAGTTACTATTCTCTTTTATGTTAATTTTTCCTTAATAACAGTTCAGACTGTTAAGAGTTTGGCCTTTTTTTACTGAAAGTTGCAGTTCGGCAGAACACAACTATATCAGGAAAAGAAAACTCATTTGGTACATTTTTTAATAGGAAAATCAGAGAAGCGGGAGGGGGGTCAGATTTGTTGCAATGTGTATTACCTCCTAACTCCCCACAGGGTTTGATCCAAAGTCCACTGTATTCAGTTGGATTCTTGCTTTAATTTGATTTAACTGTTGAGTTGTGTTCCCGAGTTTTGTGTATCCATCACCCAATTAACACCTCTTAGCCACACACCTGCAGTGGTTTGAACCTCAGACCACTACCTGGAAACCAATAAACTCTCTACATTAAGTTCTGAGTTTAAAAGTCTGAAGATACAACCACAGAAAAAACGATCTAGTCAATAGGGAAAATAAATGCACTATGTAGTGCATCTCAACTAGTATTAGCCTTCTTGAGTATTTGAATTTTCCATTAATCTTCCCAATGCAAATTAGATCCATATGGGGAAAAATAGGCACTTAAATGAACTGGCACATCTACTACAGAGTTTTAAATACAAATGTATACAGTTTGGTGGGAGGAAACTATATAGTATAGATTACTATTGCTGAAGCATGATCTCATGAGTAAAGAATGGATCTGGGAGTTGGGAACATCAATGCAATTCATGGCTTCAATACAGATTTTCTGTGTGACCTACCACTAGTGCTTGCTTTCTTTCTGCTGCAGTCCCATTCACATAAAATAAAGGTAACTATCTCCCTTCAAGGGTGCCAAGGGAGAAAAATAATTAACGTACAGTAATGAGGATACAAAGACCATCTTCGGATATGAACTGAGTTGCTAGCAATTCTAATGACTTACATTCTTCTACAAAAATAGATGATAAGTGGAATTGGAAGCAATGCCTTAAACTTTTTTCCCAAATTGAAATTTGGAATATTTAGGAAATTTGGATTTCCCAAATATCCTGCCACAAGACCTAAAAGAGTCTCTTTCAGTACAAGATCCTTCCACATAACCTTATTCATTAGCCTTCAATTTGCTGCTTGCATCATTTTGAAATGTTACTGCAGACTAACGCACTGCTACAGAAACACTCAGTTAGCTCTAACTTCACTATTCCACCAGGAATAGGTTTTGATGTATGGTGTAGTCTTTAGGTGTCTATAAAACTATAGTAGTACTCAGACTCTAAGATAACATTTTTCCTTTGTTATTTAAAATTGGTAATAATTTCATTATTTGAAAGGAGATCTTGTCTCCTTGATATCATGATGGTAGATTGTAAGCAAGAGGTCTCATTGGAACACAAGTCCTTGTAACTAGTTACAGGCTTCTAGGAAATCAGAAGGGTGATTAAAACAATTCAAGGGTAAGGATGCTGTATGGTGTAGAACAGAGTAAGAGGGATAGAGTTACACCCCAACACTAAGTGGTATGGGGAGGGAAAGGTGATAAAATTGTAATTCAATAGTACCTGCATGTGATTTGTGAGACTGAGGTGTAATAATCAGTAGCTTTGTCATTGTGTGTAATTAAGTGGAAAAATTATATTTGTTGCTAAACCAACAAACACTAGTCTCTTAACTCAGTTACATCTCATACCTGAATCTATAGAGGGAAAATTTACCCATGAGGTAACTGGAGGCTCATCTCAGAGTTTCTATTTTTGAGACTGATGTTTGAGGCTGATATAAACCCATTTTGAGCTGATATTAAGATGTCTTAAGTAAGCAAAAGGAGAGACAGCCCATGTGGCCCTGAGTGACATACTGCCTTTTTACCTGAAGAAGCCAAAGTACTGTATACATGATGGTAAGTGTTCCTGCTCCTGTGTGTACTAAGAGTGGTTGTGTTTGTGTGGGAGCCTAGTGTCACTCTGAGAGTTGCCATTTTGGAGGGTGAAAGAGCAGAATGTGTCTAAGAAGAAAAGGAGAGCCTGACGATTCCTGGATAATCTGGGGACATAACAACTGAAAACACAGTTATTTAGTAATGCAGCTTGACCCATAGCACAGGTGGATGCAGAGGGCCACAGCATTTTTAACCAGCCAGCTGGGATTGTTACATGGCTGGTTAAGGCTAGTTGTTGTGTCAAGGTGTCTAGTGAATAATGTGCAGGTGCTACATGGCGTCTGGCATCTTGTTTGGAGGATTAGAGCTGAAGAATACAAAAGCCACCAGAGATCCTCATGAGTATGTGAGTATAAAATCTACTAGCAAGCTTTGAGACTGACTTGCTGGCAAAAAAAGAGCAAAATCAGGCCATTCATGTTGTTCATGCTTGCATGAATGCTATTAGTGTGTATGTGGTACCTGTAAAAGCACTGTTTTGCTGTCCGTGTTGATCTATTATTGGTGGGCTCTGTGTACATATGTGTGTTTGTGCACACCTACCGGGAATAAAACCATCTCCAGATCTGACCAAGAAACTGCAAAATATAAAGTCACAGGAAGACCAAAACCTTCATATAAATAATCTAGATCTGTAAGACTGGACAGTGTGAATTACTATTCATATTAACTGATACCTTTGCCAGTGTGAATCCTCAATACCCTTAAAAGTAGCAGAAGGGGGTAACAAAGAAAAAAAGAACTAAAGTAAATTTGTAATTGTAAAGCTGATTGGGAAATAAAGAGCCCTAGTATCCTGCTGGATCCTAACACATCCATCAATATAATGTAAAAGTTAAAATATAACCTCCAGGCTGTACCTGATGCAATTAAGATGATCTACTCTGATGAAGAGAATGTAGGAAGAAAATGAGGTACTTAAAGGTTTAGCAAGCGAAGAGGGAGACACTAAATATTCAAATAGGAGAAATCAGATGAGCTGTGAGAAGAGTGATTACTAATGCATGCTGTCCTGCTGCAGAGGTTAATCACTAAATTGTGAGGAGATGGTAGGCATGAAAGCTCAGTTATAAAGCAGGAAAAAAGCCTGTAGCATAAATAGCCAGCATCTGCTGTAAAAGCAGAATGGCTTGAGATGTCCGGGGATGTAGCAAAAGTCTTAAATTAGGGAAGAAAGAAACACAGTATACGTAAAATAAGCATTTCAGGCTTGAGTAAGAGGTGAATGTAACCAATTATTCTTCGGAGTTAAGTGATTTTATCATTCAGAATTAAGATTTGAAAAACTGGAAAAATATAACAACTTAAAGCATCTTGACCTAGTAAAGTAATTATTGATATCACTAGTGTTCTTTTAAGCAAGCATGTAAGCACAGCACATATAAATAACAGAAGGAATCTTAGGCTATCAAGAAGGTAAAAGAGGTTTCGAACAGGGAAGAAACCTACCAAGAGCTACCAGTTCTTAGGTATTTAAAGGTTGAGAGAACTGTGGGTTAAGCGCATACATGTGAAACTTAACAGAGAGAATAATGAATAGTAAAATATTATGACTGAATCAGAATATAAGCAACACTGACAGAAAATAGCCTTCTTAATTTAATTAGAGAATATTCATACCATCTAATAAACAAAGCTTAACCACTGTAGTGAATTATTCTGAAATGTTAACTATGTAAATGCATCACTGTAAGTGATGTTAACATCTTTCCTTTAAGTGTTAAGAAAATGTTAAAAATCTATGTATAAACTATGTCTGTTTGTTATAGAGAAAAGATGAAACCAACAGGTTGCAGACATCAGCTAATGAAGGATGAGAAACAAAATGCTACTGGGTAGACAAGAAAGCCTTGTGGAGATGTTCCAGCTGAGTAAACACACACACAAAAAAGCCCTGTTAGTAACAATTTTTGTTGGTTTTTGTCTTCCATGTGTATCACAGAAGAAAAAGTAATCCATTCAAACTGTATGGATATTGATAACTACATATTGCTTAGCAGTGGTTTTGGTTTGTGGGTTTTTTCCTTCTCTGAAAAGGAAGAAAAAGAAGTAAAACCTTATCCAATGTGAAGATGCTTTCAGCTCTAACAAAACAAACCCCATGTCTCTGCATGGAGATGTACTTCATATTATTATTAGTGATAATGACTAAAAGAACACTATTACAGCACTGTAATCTCAGTGTATATACTCTGTGTGTGTTTGTATGGATGTAACTATGTATTTACAAACAGCATTTTTAGAGATGCAAGAAACAAAGGAGACTTCATTAAACACAGCAATGTCTGCCATGGTAAAATGTATTTTTCAACTGTGCCTTCATAACACCTGGAACTGAAATAACTTTATCTTCACACAGTGTGGTATTGAGGATATTTTAGATTGGAGTAAAACGATCTCATATGTCAATTCACATTTGTCACTTCAGGAGATAATATATATTATATTGCCCCATTGACTACAGCTTCCAGAAGCAAGCTGAAAAACTGGGAAACTGACAACAAGCAGA